ACTTCAGAAATCAAAACTGGTCCACTTTAAAAGTATTAATTCATTAAAAAAAGTAAGCCCACTACGTGTTAGCATAGACATATAATTGTTTTCCAAAACACAAACCATGTTAGTGAGGAGTGGCACTGTTTGACATTTTTGCAAGTCTCTAATGTCTGGATTCTCACGTCTGCTCTGCATTCCATCTGTCGCATATCACGTCATGTGGGCTCTGGAAAACACTATACTCGTAAGTGAATGAAAGTGGAAAAGGCAAGTAACATCTTAGTATTATGAAAATGTTTTGACTTTGCAGATCCTTTGAAAGTGTCTTAGGGGGCCCTGGGGTCCTCAGACCACACTTGGAAAACCACTAATGTAATCCAAAAGTTGAGGTAGAAAGATCCTACTGAATGGTTTGGAGGTCAGGGGAAGGGGGTGGTTGACCCTGTGTTAGACCTCAAATTCGGCCCACCCCCCACAGAAAGCAAACTCAAGAGAGGGTTCGGTGAGATTATTTCTGACATTCTTTCCAACTCTAAGTGCTGCATGTGGCTTCACTTTAATTCAATGGACACCAAGTGCCTACCATGGGCCAGGTCTCCAGAGGATACAAAGATGAATGAGAGACATGGTCCCTGCAATGGCAGAACTTATGTTCACTGGATTCCTGGGGCCTGCTGCCCAGTCTGCCAGTGCAGCATCAGGCAGGCAGGTATGGGGGAAGGGGCTGAGTTCCACTTCCATCAGAGGGCCAACCAGGTGCAATTCCTTTATTCCTTCCCTCTCAGACTAGCATGTTGAGTGGTGCCCCATCTTGCTCCTTGTTTAAGGTTCCTGTTGTTCAGTTTACCTGCCTTCTCTGAGTTCTGACTGACCACCCACTTCTGCCTTCTTGCAGTGTTGCAGCACACACATCCCCTCCCTTACTGCCTAGCGCTTAGCGACTTTAGATTCCACGTTGCTGACTTGTCTGAAATCTGGACTTCACAGGTCCTCAGGCCTCCACTGACCTTCACGTCACTGCTAACGTTGAGGGCTCGAGTTCTTGTCTCCTATACCTGCCAAGTCTCCCCATTCGTGACTCCTCACTTCCCGGCCCCCTCCTCGCCAAAGTTAAGCTCTTTGAAGTGCCCTTAGCCCATCTTCTCCCCAAATAGTCAATCCTTACTATTCTCTGGCTGCCAACCCTCTACCTCCGCTATCCTGAAAAATAGTTCATTGGCCCACTGCTCTCACCACCAAGCATCCCATTTCTCTTTTCGTTCATCGCCAAACTTCTTGAATGAATAGTAGGTCATGCCACGTCCATGACTTCACTGTCTGCTCTTGCAAACCTCGGCGTCTCCCTACTTTAGTTTTCTCCTTAGACATTTTTGTTGTCTGTATTTTCTACCAGAATGTGAGCTCCATGAAAGCTGAGATTTTTTTTGAAATTTACTTACTGTGGATTCCCTAGCTCCTAGATCAGTGCCTGGCATATAGTAGGCCCTTAAATATTTGTTGAATGAATGACTTGTCTTCCTCCTACTACACTTTAAACTCCATGAAGATAGGAGCTTTGTTCATGTTATATACTTAGTGCCCAGCACAGCGCCTGACATCTAGTAAGCACTCAAATATTTATTGAATTAGGGAATGAATCCAGTTACCAGGGAAATTGTAATTTTTTTAAAGCTGCTTTGTCTGGTTAATATTGTTTGCGTATTGTCTTTTTTTTTTTTTTAATCTGTCCCTGCAGTTACCTCACACCTGGGCTTCAGCAATAACCTTTAAAGCTCTGCAGCTGAAATCTATCCTGCATGCTCGTGCCAGGGATTGCTCCTCTGCTCAGAAACTTTCAATGCCTCCCCATTGTAGTTTGCGTTTTTTTTTTGAGACAGGGTCTCACTCTGTTGGTACGGTCTTAGTTCCCTGCAGCCTCGAACTCCTGCTGAAACCTCCCGAGTAGCTGAGACTACAGGCGCACGCCACCGCACCCAGCTAATTTTTAAAATTTTTTGTAGAGATGAGTTCCTGCTGTGTTGCCAGGACTGGTCTCGAACTTCTGGCCTCAAGTGATCCTCCCACCTTGGCTTCCCAAAGCACTGGCATTACAGGTGTGAGCCACAACCCTTGGGCCTAGCTCCCAATGTACTTTGTTTTAAGAGAGAGGGTCTTGCTCTGTTGCCCAGGCTGGAGTGCAAGTGGCACAATCATAGCTCATTGTAACCTCGGACTACTGGACCCAAGTGATCCTCCTGCTTCAGCCTCTCAAAATACTGGGATTAAAGGCGTGAGCCAGCATGCCTGGCCTCCCCATTGTAATTTGTGATGTACAAACAGGTGGTGCTGCAAAAGCTCACCTGCAAGTTGGCTGTTGAGAATAGTGGAACGTTTCCTATCCATAGTACATACTAATACCTCAGATCACAAAAGTTTACATATGAGAGAGAGACACACACACCTTAATATAAGTTGTCACTGAACTATAGTTTAAATAAATGTCAAACAGTGTTTCTAGAGGAAAATGTGCTCAGAGATTTGGTTGGAGATGCCAGGCACATATCCAGGCCTGTAGAGAATTCCCCCTCCAAGCCAAAATTGATGCCTCTTACAGGCTGTGACAGCGGCTGTCTAAACATACCCGACACGACACTCAAGGTGCTCTCATGTTCCAATGCCATCATGAAGTTTTTATGATGAAATATTTTCCCCATCATTCTAGCTAAAAGCGGTAGCTTTTCTCCTCTGAAGTCTAGACTGCTTATTTGACAGCCCTTCTATCTACTGTATTGTCTTGTATTAATATTTTTAATTCCTCATGAGTATGTCTTAACTCTGATGAGACTGTAAACTCCTGGAGGGAAAGGCTCTATTCTTACATCCTCTACAGTCCATGGCTCATAAGCACTCATTAAACGGTTACTGAATAAATGAAGGAATTAATGCCTACTGCTTTCCAGATAGCACATCCAGGCAGAGTTGGAGAACTGGTCGTCTTCGTGGCCAGCTTTGCTTTACTCCCCCAAAGGATCCTGTAGCCCTAAGGTCAGGCAGCAGCGTTGGAAGTGTGTGCTAGAGTCTTCGATAGGAAATGGCTCGAAGTATCAATGAGTCAGTGCAAAATGACCCTGATTAGCAATACCAAGTTACTGTTTGTCACATGCCTCTATGTGCCAGGTAACTTACAAACATAGCTCTAATCCTTACAACTATTCTGTGAGGAAACAGGGTTTCTGAGATAGTGTGATGTGACTTATCCAAAATCACGAAGCTATTAAAGGACAGAGCCAGGATTTCAAAGCAAGTATTTGAACCAAAGTCTTCCTGACTCTGAGCAGGTTGTGAGGATGAGCAGATGAGCTGGAATGCCCTGCTGCCTCACTGGCTGGTCCAGGCTGGGTGTGCCTGCCTCGTGGCCACACCGAGGTTTCCTTCTCCCCCTCTATTTCCTAAAACCACTGAGTCAAAGGGGACAGCCCTACACTTCCAGACCAGGGAGGACTTCTCAATCAAGAGCACATGAGCAGCCCCTCTCCCCAGCTTGTACCTTCAGATCCCAAGCCCATGTTCTTCGATATCCCCACACTGATTCTCAGCTCCTGAAAAAACAACTCTTGAGTCAGGTACTCCATGTGTTGTTCTAGGATCCTACCTGCAACATTGTTTATAATAACAAAATTATAAACAACCTGAATGCCTATTAACAGCAGAGTGGTTATAGTACAACCCTCAGATGGAGTACCATACCACGCAGCTGTGAAATGATGGAAGTGTATTGTAACAGCAAGGTACCTACACCTGTGTGTTCGTATAAGCATAGGAAATTCATCGAAGGGCAATTATTCACTCAACACGTGTTAAGCATTTTAAGGTATACGTGAAACTTACTAATAGCGGTTACCTGTGACGAGTGGTTCAGAAGAAAAAATAGTTACTTGTACTTTTCAATAAGCTTCTGTACATTTTTTTAAACCACGAGCGTTGCTTTTTATAAAGTCAAAAGGAAGTTTGATGACACAAGTAGAAACATCCAGCAGGTACTTGAGAGGAACAGGGTTATAAGAGACAGGTAATAGGGGCTTAAAAATACCTGCAGTTTTGCAGTGAGGATGGCAGTGGGGGCATAACTACTTTTAGTTTCGGACCTAAAAGGTAGCGCAGGTGGAAAATCATTCTAAAACTCGAAACACCTGGGGCTGATGATAAAATGAATACCGCTTCACTTCTGGCGGCCCGTCTTCCTAACCACACGATTTTGAGATGTGTATCTGTAGATGGTGTGAAATGGAAGCGGAGGGAGCGGTTGCTTTGGTCTCGGAGGTGCGGCTTACACACTGGGTCATTCATCTCCCAGGCTCAGCTTCAAGCTGGACGGGACTCTGAGTCTGGACTATTCTCTCCATTTTACCAAAGAGGATTTCTCGGGCTCCCAGAGGTTACAGGGCTGTGATTTCGACCTACCGCTGCCCTCAAAGGCTCCTAAGAGCTACGCTCCGGCAGGCGACTCCTGTCCTGCACAACTGGGCAGCCACCTGCCACCCTCGGAGCCTGGTCCACAGGCCCGACACGGTGGGGGTAGGGGGGCCCGAGCCAGCACCGCGGAGGCGGCGTCTATGCAGAAAGGGGCGGGATGCCGAGCCTGCGACGCCGCACGACTCTGCCTGCTACATCCAAGTCCCGGGACTCGAGGAACCGGGAGCTCGGCGTGGGCCCCGCCCCCTGTCACTGCGTGCCTGTCATTTCCTCTCCGCAGCGCGTGCGGGTCTTGAAGATGAGGGAGCAAGAAGGTCTACGGCCGGGCCTCTCCAGCACCTTGGGCTTCTTTCTGTTAGGGCTCGACAGCGGCTCTGCTCTGCAGGCCCTCAGGGCCGCGGGCAGTGGCAACGACGCCTGCCGAGGAGACGCGAGGCAGACGGGCCCGCGCCTACCGGCACTCTGCCAGGGCGCGTGCGCGGCGAGGGCGCGGCTGGCCGGGGCTGCGGCTGCGCAGAGGCGGTGCCAGGCGCTGCGCCTGCGCAGTGTCGGGGCGGGGCGGGAAGAAGGGAGGCGGTGGCAGCGGCGGCGGCGGCTGCTGAGGAGGAGGAGGAGGGGGAACGGAGGGAGGTGTTTCTGTCAGTTCCGGCTGTTTGTTCGGGAAGTGGATCTGCCGCTGCCGGAGCAGCCCGGAGGGAGCTGCGGATCGCGAGGCCAGTACCGACCCCGCCCGCCCGCGCGCACCGCCCCCGCCCGCCATGGCCCGGGACTACGACCACCTCTTCAAGCTGCTCATCATCGGCGACAGCGGTGAGGCCGCAGCGGCCGGAGGCGGCTCGGGCCCTGCCGGGCGCGGCCCGCGGGGGCCTCGGGGCGGGCAGGCGGGCGGGGAGGTGCCGGCCCGCGCAGGGCGGGCGGGCGGGGCTGCCCGGCGGCCTGGGCCCCAGGGGCGCGCCGAGGGGCTCCCGACCGTGCCGACCGGAGGTTGGGGCGCGCGGGGCTGGGGAGCCGAGGGGCCGAGCGCGCCGGGTCCGCTCACCGCGCCTGCCCCTGCCTCACGTGTGACCTTGGTCAAGTCGCGCGATCTCTGGAGTTGGACAGACCTGGGTTCGAGTCCAGGGACTACCAGCTTCTTCACTGTGTGACCTTGGGCAAGTTGCTTCACCTTTCTGAGCCTCAGTTCCCTCATCTGAGAAGTGGGGACTTGCCTTGCTGGGTGGTGTGAGTATTCGATGAGATAAAATAGGAAAAGTGCCTCTGAGTAAATGTTAGCTTGATGTTGTTATTATCACCATTGTCCTTTGTGAGCCTTAGTTTCCTCCTCCGTAGAATGGGGACGTTCCCAGAACCTGTCTCATGGGCTTGCTGTGAGGTTTAAATGAGGTAAGGCGGGTAAAGCGCTTTGCACAAGGCCTGGCACATTCCTGCTGAATTATTGTCATCTCTCTGCATGGTTCAGTTTCCTCATCTGTAAAATGGAATAATAGAATCTGCCTTAGATGTGAGTATGAATATTCAATGAGATATTGCACACAGTGTTGAGGACGGTCCTGGCACACAGCGAGTGGTCACTAGTGTTCGCTGTTCGCAGAGGGGTACTGGCAGTGGGTCAGCCAAATTACAGAAGTGCTTTGGCTGTACGAGCTCCTAGCTCAGATCACTGCTCAATCTCCTGTGCCCAGAACAGTGCCTGGCACCCAGTAAGTGCTTAATACACTGTTGAGTGAATGAATATTAAGTGTCCTTAGAAAAGATTTACTGGTTTCTGGGAGAGGAGGGAGGATTTTAGAGATGTTTGGAGTGTGGCAGGTGAGCAGGTTTATGGGGTGACCAAGAGGTCAAGGAGGCAGGCCCCAGGTTTATGGGAGCATAGCTGAGGTGCTGGGATTATATGATGTCCAGGAAGGAGGCTTGGGAGCACGCTGAGTTTATAGCCCAGACCTGCCTGGAGTGTGGGGAAGGAGGGCATGTGACTGGAGGCAGAGGCCAGGTTGGCGGCAGAGCCCACGGATTGTTAAGGAAACAGGGGACCGCATCAAGCGGGTTGCAAGACCCAGGGTGTAGGAGTGCTGGATGGCAGTATCATAGGTGGGTCAGGGAAGTGGGTGGCTTTTGGTCTTGCCCGTGAGGCTGGATTGGGATGTGGTTGGTGGTTTGGATCAGGTGAAGGATGGCTGAGGTTTCCTTGGTTGCCAGAGGAGGGGAGAGGTAAGGGGGGGAGTTAGGGGCCAGTCAGCGAGGTGGAAGAGTAAAAGTGTGGTTGAGGAAGGAGGCTGAAAGGTGGAGGCCCAACTGGTTGTGGTTTGAATGAAAGAAAAACGGGCAAGCTGGGTAGTGTTGCTATTGGAGATGGCCTTTGGCATTCCTCGGGGTCTTGAGGCTTCTTCCTTTGCAGGATTTGCTTTCAGCTCTGGCCTTGGCTCTGGGGACTGGCACCAGGGTGAATTCTCTCCTTTTACAGTTACAGTCAGTTCGCCGTGGTCAGGGTCTTTATTCCTCTGCGAGACATCTTGGATCTGCGTGTTGATGTCCAAAAATGAAAAGCCTAAACTCAGCAAGAAGATGCAGCTTGTGGCCTTTCTGCTCCATAAACCCCAGGGGATAGTTTTGGCCCGCGTGCTCACAGTACATTTTACATGGTGTATTGATTTTTCACTCCAAAGTCAGGTGTGGGAGAAGACTCCCTGGGTCAAGATTTCTGTGGTCTGGCTCTAAGTTCAGTCTGAGCATGTCGGCCTAGGTTGCGTAAAGGAGATAGGTGCTGTGCCGTTTGATTTCTCCTGACACTGAGCTGATACTCAAAGCTGAACCCTTACGAGCCTGGGAGATGGTAGCCATGGAAGTTCAAACTAAGCTTTGGCAGCCGAGCAAGGAGTCTGCCGTCATGCGCTCCCCTGAACTGGGCTCCTTGTGTGTGTGTGCCTCCTTAAGATAGGGCAGATGATTTTGGACACACTCTTATCTGGTTCTCACCCGTGGCTCATGTGGTTTGTCAAATGAGGAAACTAAGGCTCAGAGGAGGTGACTGACTTGCCCTAAATCACACAACACGTCTACAAGCAAAGCTGGGAGTTAATGCACATCTATGCTAATGTGTGTGAGAGCAGCTGGTGTCAGGGCTGGCAAACAGTAGGCCCTCGATGAATGTTGGTCTCTTTATAAATGTAGAGTTCTTCCCCCTCTGCCACATTGTACACGCTTCTGGATTTTGTGTCTCTTCTTTATGCCTGAGGTTCTATATGTTCTCTTATGCTATTCTGACATTGGTGCTGATTTGTAACAGCCTCTCATCTGTATCCCTTGGACCAGCCATCCTCATTCAGTAGTTAAAGCCTTCACTTGACAGATGAGTAAATTGAGGCTCAGAGAGGGGGCGTGACTTGCCTGAAGTTGCATAGTGAGGTAGTAGCTGAGGCAGGATTAAAAGTGAGAACACTTCACCGGAAGGTCTAAGGGTCTTCAAGAGGCTGGAACTGAAGCAAAGAGGAGTGAGGGGCCTAGCGCCCAGGCAGGAGCAGGGCGAGGGAAGACGTGTGTGCGGCTGGCACGATGGGGCAGATGAAGCAGCCAGGGGAGCGTGGCAGTGATGGAGTATGGCGTCTCCAGGCTGTCAAGAGGCATCGAATGCCACCAGGCCAGTGCACCTTGCAGGGTAAAGGATGATGGGGCTGGATGGCTGGGGGTCACACTAGATGTGGCCATGGGACCCTTCGGCTGTGGCTGTGGTGAAGGTCGATTGGTGCCCTCTGCTGCCTCCCTTAGGCCAGTGCTCTGGGGGAGTTGGTTGCAGCACATTTTTCCAATGAAGCCTCTTCCAGGGATATATAGGAGATGGCATTTCTCAGGGTGGATTTCTGTTCTTCTAGAGCAGTGTCAGAGGTTGGTGTTGAGTTCAAAGCAGCAGATAATTGGTGACTGTAGTGATCTCTCTGCAACCCAGTGGCTTTTAACTGCTCTGCTGAGGAGCCTTGGGGTCAGTGGAGGGGCTGCTGTGTGATTGCAGAGAGAGCACCTCCCCCTTGTCTGTTTTAGACATAAAGGATTTGGATAAAATTTAATTTATAAAAAGGATTGTGGCCGGGCGTGGTGGCTCATGCCTGTAATCCTAGCACTTTGGGAGGCCGAGGTGGGAGGATCGCTTGAAGCCAGGAGTTTGAGACCAGCCTGGGCAACACATCAAGACCCCATCTCTATAAAAAATAGAAAAATTAGCTGGGTGTGGTGGCATGTGCCTGTATTCCTAGCTACTTGGGAGGCTGTGGCAGGAGGATCGTTGGAGCCTAGGAGTTTGAGGTTGCAGTGAGCTGTGATGATACCACCATACTATAGCCCAGGAGACAGAGTAAGACCCTGTCTCAAAAAAACAAAAAAAAGATTCTGTTACCCACGCCCCCCAGAAGTTTGAAAACCAGTGCTTCAGCTCCTGTTAATGCTGCAGTGATAGTGTTAGACAGCAGAGCTGTCGGTGAGATTGGCATTTGTTTAGTCATGCATGCATCAAGCAGTGTTTTGTTGGTGCCTACTAAGTGCTGAGCCTGGCGGACAGCACTGAGTGTGCACAAGGTGAGTGAGGCGAGAGCTCTGTCCTGGAGGAACTCCCAGCCTAGCAGCCCAGAGGAGAGCTTATAGCTGAGTAAGTTGGACCCAGAAGGCCTCAGGAGGAAGCAGAGGAGCCAGCAGGGCCAATGGGGTGTCGGCACTGGGTAGAGCGCTGTGAGCAACCCAGCCCAGGACGCCGGCTCTCCTCGGGCTTAGCAGGAAGCCAGCCTCATGGCGGGGTGATGAGGAAGTGGCTCTGAGCACGAGCGCAGGGGCTGAGTGGCACCTGTCTGTGCAGGAGCCTCACCCCAGCCCATCTCTGGGAAGGTGAGACCAAGGTTCACTCAGGGAAACAAGTTCTGGGCATCCCCGGACGGCTCACTCACTGGGAGAAGGCCTTGGAGGAGAGCTTTGAGAGGACTGCGCAGAGAGGACGTCTGGGTTAGGTTTAGAAAAATGCAACTGTTATTCTGTACCAGTGGTTTGCATCTTTGGCTACTTGGGTGGATGAGGGGGCAGGTGCCCTGAGACTCTGATAAAAGCTGTGGGCTTCTCCCACAGATAGGCACATACAGTCCGATTTGCACTTAGATTGAGGAGGTTTGTGAGCCCCTAGGTTAAGATCTCCTCATAGTTTTGATGGCATTTCCATTGAAACTCTTGACAGGAGTGAGATGTAGGAGCTCCCATGGGGTTGTTTTTTTCCCCTCCCTGAGCTGATGCAAGAAGACTCCCCAGCAGTGTGCATTGGAGGCGCTGTAGTCTCTGGAGGACGCGGGCTGGATTCAGATCTCAGCTCCTCCTTCCTGCAGAGACACCTTGGGTCAGCTGCTCAGTGTCTTGGAGTCCTGGCTTCCTCCTCTTAAGAGATGTGGTTAGATTTACAATTATAGGAGCATTTAAGTGCTCACCACACAGACAACTCGATTGTGTTAATTCTTTCCTTCTGTGGTCAGTTGACCCATCTGGCTTCAGGGTGGCAGGGGTCAGGGATGGAACAGGAAGACGGGACAGGCGTACTTGGCAGGCTGAAGCAGCTGTGTGCTGGGGAAGGCCAGGCGGACGCCTGTTCGTGGACTAAGCAGTCAGGAGCGCTGTGCTAAGTGCCGTGGTCTGAGCATGCGCAGGTGGCCTGATGGGCTTAAGGCAGCCGCCCCCTCTCCACTGACCCAGATGACAGGGACAGCCCCCCGGGAAGACGGTGAACATTGAGGTCTAACTGTGTGGGCCTCAGTTTCCTCACCTGCCAAAATGGCCCTGATCTCAAGGGTTCTTTCCAACCCTACAGTACCTGTTTCAAGGCGCCCCCTATCTGAAGTGTACATGGTGTGCGGTTTTTTGGGGACCATGTTTTTAACGCACTTGTGGGGCCGGTCTGTTTTGGTTGACCTTCCTCCTCCTGCTTTGTCTCTGTTGTCTGGTGTGTCCCTTTGGGCTGGCCCTCAGCACAGGGCCTGGACGTGAGTCCCTTTCTCATCTGTCTCCCAGGGGATTTGGGAGCAGCTTGTCTTACAGGAGGATGAAGGGAAAGGTCGAGGATTGAGTGGAGATGTTCTTGGTGTGTGGCTGGCAGAAGAGGTAGAAACAGCATTGACTCAGCTGGGTCCCGCTGAGCTTCGTAAGAGTTGGGGCTCAGGCATCATCTCCCCAAAGAAGGGTTGGGGCTGGAGGGAGGGACCCCTGGCCCCTCTCATCTCGGTGCTTTCTCTCTTGCAGGTGTGGGCAAGAGCAGTTTACTCTTACGCTTTGCAGACAACACTTTCTCAGGTGAGTCTTCCCCCGCGTACTGCTGGGCGTCGTTCGTTCATTCCCGCCCTGCCGCCCCGTCCCCCAGAACACACTTGCCTCTCCCCGTCTGCCCATGGCAGCTCATTCTGGTTGCCAAAGGACGGAAGAAGACAGGGGGACTTAGGTCCTTATGGTGCTCAGATCTCTGTGGTCTGTCTTCATGCACCTTGTTCAAAAAAACCCTTTTGCATCCTTTTCCTACCCAGGGTCTTTTTGTGCCCAACATTTTAAAAAAAGTTTAAAAATATTATAAGATGGTACATGCCTGTATACAATTTCAAACAGGAAGGTGTCAATAAAGTGAAAAATGAAAGTTGTCCCTGCACCTGGCCCCTGTGCTGCCCCGGTAGCCTCTGGTCAGTGTGTGTCTTTCTGGCTTTTTTCTGAACGCCATGTGCTGTTCGGCAACTTGCTTTCCCCTCCTCCTATCAAGGAACGTCCTTCTGCATCATGGCTGCACACACACTTTGCTGGTTCTCTTGAGTGGCTGCAAAGTTTTCTGTGCTGTGTGTGGATGCACCGTAGTTCATCATCTGTGCTCTTCATGAATGCATGGTTTCTGGTTGCTTCTGTTTGAAGTGATGTTGCATTACTTGGGATACATTGTATGTTCTTGGACGTGCATTTCTGTAGAAGTGCGGTTGCTGGGTCACAGGGCATGTGCACTTAACCATTTCCATAGCTACTGCCAACTTGCCTTTCAAAGAAGCTGTAATAATTTGATTTACACCCCCTGAAGGGGTTAACGGTGCCCCTAGTCAGCTTTGATCAATGCTAGATCTCTGTAGTTGTCTTCATTTTTGCTAAGCTGATAGGCAAAAAGGGCTAACTCCTTTATATTTGCATTTCCCTGCTCGCTGGTGGTGGTGAACGTATTTTCGTTTGTTAAGTATGTCAGGTTCAGGTTTGTTGCAGAGGCTTCAGGCTGGGTTGGCCTCCCTGAGGACTGAAATGTGGTTATCTTGTGGGGAATCCCTCTGGTTGGGGGACAAGCTCTGCTTAGGAAGTGATTACATGGCAGACGCCTCTTGGTGAAGAAGTGGGTTTTGTCCCCTTTCTGTCTCTCGTAGTGGCTCTGTAACACCACGTGCTGTGGGAACAGGAGTTGGCTTCTCTGTGTGACCTTGAGCTAGTGACTAAGCCTCTCTGCTCATGTGCAATGTGGGACTGTAATCGTCTCTCTCACGTGGGTTTGTTGTAGGATTACTTGAGGTAGTGCATGGTGCAGTGCCTGGGACTAAATAGTATCTCAGTAAATACCAGCTATTTGTTGTTGCCATGATCTTCTGTTCAAGAATGATAACTAATGGACAGCCTCTGATTATGCTGAAAAGTGTCCCTGTACTTCCCCGTGCAGTCAGCGTTCACCTCTTGGGAGGGCTCTTTGGCCATCTCTCTCCTCCTTTCCCTTCCTACTCCCAGCATCTCAGTTCCTCGCTGGTTCCAGCTTGGAAGCCTTTCAGCAGCTCCCACCCACCCTGAACCAGACTGCTCGGTTCCTCTTGCTAGTGCATGTCTCTGGCAGGGTCTTTCTTCTGTTTAGAAACCTCAGTGGCCCTCTCACCTGAGCAGGAGTTTACAGCAAGGTTCTCTGTTGCGGGCTGTGCTGCATATTGAAGGGTGTGGAGCAGCAGCCTGGCGCGCTACCCACTAGATGCCACTTGCATTTTTCTTCCCCCCCAGACAAAAATGTCTTCAGACACTGCCAAGTGTCCTTTGTGATTTTGGAAGAGCCTCTGGTCTTCATAGTCTGTTTTCAGCTCACCTTTCCCACTTTCTTTCTCATAGAGCTTGTGAATTTTTCGTTTGCTCATTTAGCCATCAGTTGTTTAAGTGCCTAACCCTGCCTAACCCTGCCAGGTGCCCGGCCACGCTCCTCGGCGTGTCCAGGACTGGAGGAGCACCAGGTGCGGGCTTGTTCTCTGAACCGGTTCCAGTTGTGCACTGGCCTCGGCTGTTTGCCTCTGTGTGGGGGTCTCAACCTTCCAGATCTTACCTCTTCTTTTAAGCTAGGCCCAAATGTGACTTCCTCCCTGCAGCCTGCCCCAGTCTCCACCCCACCTTGAACTTTGGCCTTTCCTATACACTTGCCACGCTTCGTGTAGCTGTGTGTGTCGTCTCCCTCCCTGTGTTATTGGTGAGCTCCTGATGGAGTGAGAATCTGTGTTGTTCCTCACGTTCAGGCCTTTGGAAGCCTGGACTGGACTGTTACACCAGCAAGGCATTCTCCTCTGCTCATCTCACACAGGCCCCAAGAGGGCTGTTTAAAATGCAGCTCCTGCCTCTGATTAAAACCCTTCAATGCCTCCCCATCACACGAGAGAAAGTCCAAGTTCTCGAAAATAGCACAAAGGCCCAAAATCTAGCCTTAGCGGCCTTCTACCTGCCTCCCACAGGTGCCTGACCCAGCATGATTGCTCACGCTGTCGCCCCTCTGGCTGGAGCAGTGGTTTGCAGACCGGAGGTCATGACCTGCTTGTTAGGAAATTAATTTGTGGGAGGTTAAAATTTTTTTGAATTGAAAAGAAAACCCCAGAGCGCATTACAGGTCTGCCACTCTCCCGACCCAGCCACTCTAAAGGAGCCTGCCCCTCTACCCCCAGTCCCATCCTGTTTTATTTCCTTTGTAGCTCTTATGCTCTCTGAAATTGTCCTCCTTATCAGTTTGTTTCATTGCCTCTTGTCTGTCACCCCCACCTTGAGCCTTGTCTCCCTTGTTTGGGGCTTTGTCCCTGGCATCTAGAACGTAGGGGACACATGGAATGAGCAGGGTGGGACGGTGGAGCCCAAGGTCTGGGCCTCGTTCACGCGCCGTGCGTGTGCGTGCGTGCAGGCAGCTACATCACCACGATTGGAGTGGACTTCAAGATCCGGACCGTGGAGATCAACGGGGAGAAGGTGAAGCTGCAGATCTGGGACACGGCGGGGCAGGAGCGCTTCCGCACCATCACCTCCACGTGAGTCAGCCCCGCGCCTGTCCGAAGCCCTCCCCGCTGACATGTGGGCACAGTTGAGCGGTCATGGTAGAAGTGTCACTGGTGGCTCCCTGAGGCTGTCGGGAAGGGAGCCCTTTGCTGGCCACAGTGGGCAGTGTTCAGCACTGCCCTTCCTCCTCCTGAAGATACGAGAGCAGGCAGGGACAGGGACGGGGTGTGACTGTTGCCCTGGGCAGCAGGCAGTGGCTGAGCACCCTGGCGGGATAGTGACTATGGGCCCTCCCCACTGGCAGTCAGTTTACCCTTAGGCCTGTAGTTCCCATGGGAATAGCAGTAGCATTTGCCTCGCCAGGTGGGTGTGAAGCGCCCTGCCCGTGGAACACGTAGTCACTGATAGTTACTCTTGTAGGTGTCAGTTGGGACAGTGGGGTCGGCCTGTGCAGGCTCCGGCGCCCACCCTACTCCTTGAGCTGGCTCTCTTGGGAGGCCTGGGAGGAACGCTGGTGTGGGGAGGCCATCGGGAGGCCCTTCCTTCCCTCCCCAGAGCTCTGGGAAACCCAGCTGCCCAGCGGGTTGCCCACATTTGTGGCTTTTAGCTGCAAACAGGAGGAAAACAGCTCTAGCTCAGAGCAACGGGTGTCTTGTGGAGGGACTCTTGGTTGTTGGGTTAATGGAACAGGTTTTAGGCAAGAGCAGGGTTTGAAGGCAGACAAATTTGGAATTGTACTGCATGCCTTTGGGCAAGTTGCTTAAACTCTGTGCTTCAGATTCCCAGAGGGCCTGTCTTTGGGATTGGCTTCAATGTGGGGTGTGCCACGTGCCGTGCTCCAGGCGTGCATGGATTGTCTGGGCGTACTCTCCTGCAGCTTTGGGGGCAGTGCCGCTCCCACCCCAGTTTACAGAGGGGGGCGCTCTGAGAAGGGGTCTGCTCCTAGCGGTGGCAGAGCCTAAGCTCCACGCTGTGCCGTGTGCAGTCGGGCCTGTGTCTGGCCTTCCGTGGGCACCTTCCAGGGAAGGTCCTCTGCGAGTGGACTCAGGAAGGCTGATGAGGAAGTTTCCTGGCCAGAGATCCCTTCCTCCCCACAGCATGCCAGACCCCAGGCTGGTCGCCCATCCCAGGCCCCTCAGGATCTTCTAAGGCGCCCCCATGGCGGTAGCTGGGAGTGTGGGGAGAGGAGGGACAGGCATGTGGGCCGTGCTGGGCAAGAGGGGTTACGGACCTGGAGCCCAAACAGCCCTGAGCTGGAGGGCTTCTGTCATGAGGGGTAGCCCTGTGAGAGCACGTGTGTGCTGTGGCCTGGGACTACCCAAACCCTGGGGGTTCCCAGTCTTGGCGCTGCCCGGGCACAGTGCTCTGTGACCCCTTATTGATTGGCCACCTGAGTGAGGGCTGAGTGAGGGCTGTCTGGCCCCGTGTGTCTTGGCAGCTGCCAGTGAGGACCTGAGGAGGACCGCTGGGGTCAGGCCCCTCAGCGTGGGACTAGCATGAGCGTGTCAGGCACCCTGGTGCGTGCTGGCCCGAGCGAGGCAGGACCTCTCGTCGGGTCCGTAGGTCTGGGCACTGACCTCACACATCCTGACTTGGGGCCAGGCCTGTGGCTAAGGACTTCACCTGCTTTATTTCATTTAGTCTTGACAGGACGAGAGAACAGGCCCAGAGAGGATGAAGCAGCCTAGCTTGGCTGAGTAGAAGGGACTAGAACTAAGGCCTTTACCCAGTGCATGGCCCTGCTCCCTGGGAGCACAGCCCCTCCCCGGCCACTGTGAAGTCAGCTCCTTTTGGGGCAGGGCCGTGTGGGAAGAGGTGAACTGGCTCCTTCATTCTATGGGGAGACTTGGAGGAGTTACTCAGCCACCTGAGGGCTGTATGGGTTTTTTCCAGGGTGCTTGAGAAAGGGGTGACCTGCATGCTGGTGGCCTGTGGGCACCTGCTCAGCACCTGCTGGCCGTCCCACCTGTCTGTCTGGGCAGGTTAGCCCCATCGTAGGGTCTCGGGCTCTGTCCCTCATGGGCAGGAGGCACTGCAGGGCCCACCGAGGGCCACTGAAAAACTCGACCCCCTGTGATGGTTGCTGGCGAAGAAGGAAGGATTCGGCCGGGCGCGGTGGCTCACGCCTGTAATCCTACCTCTCTGGGAGGCCGAGGCAGGCAGATTGTTTGAGCTCAGGAGTTCGAGACCAGCCTGAGCAAGAGCGAGACCCTGTCTCTACTAAAACAATAGAAAGAAATTAGCTGGACACCTAAAACTATACATATAAAAAAATTAGCCGGGCATGGTGACACGTGCCTGTAGTCCCAGCTATTTAGGAGGCTGAGGCAGGAGCCCAGGAGTTTGAGGTTGCTGTGAGCTAGGCTGACGCCACGGCACTCTAGCCGGGCAGCAGAGTGAGACTCTGTCTCAAAAAAAAAAAAAAAAAAAAAGGAAGGATTCTAGGAAAGTTGAGTTTCCAGCAACGGGGCAGTCAGAGTGCAATAGCATGACCTTTTCTGATTAAGGGCATTAAAAGAGAAACTGAAATTGCATCCTGATAGCGCGACAAGAAAGGGCCCCATCGTCAGCCCCTCTTGAGTTCTTGCCGTTGGTGGCTGAGGTTTGCTGGTCCTGAGAGGTGCAGCTGGGGAGGAGAGAGGTTGGGGTGGAGGTGAGAGGGTGACAAGGAGGGGAGACTCCTGGCACTGGACCTGGGCCTCACGTCCTCACCGGTAGCATGGTCATCCTGCTGTCTGCTGGACCAGGTCGTTGCAAAGATTAACAAGGTTAATGGCTATAAAGCCCCCAGCGCTGTGCCTGGCTCACAGCAGTGCTGGCGGGTGGGAGTGGTTCCTGAGGGTGATGGGCCAGGAAGCCCAGAGGCACCGTTGCCCTCCTAGCCAGAGCTCTGAGCCCCAACCTCGTCCCCAGACTAGTTCTTTGCTCTTGGGCAAAGCCCCTTCCCTGGGCCTCAGAGAAGGCGGAGGTTCCTGGGGAGCAGCGGGGGGCTTTGTACTGGGTCCGTGGCCGTGGCATTTCTTGGCACCTTTAATAATCTTCAGCAGAGAGAGTTTGCAGAGGCATTCCAACTCCTCGCACTTCCGTTGCTGGCAGGGGACAGTCGTCTGCGCCTGTGGTTCTGGTGTGCACTTGGGTGCCCGCTCCGGAAGGCTCCGCCACGCCGCCCGTGTGCTGAGCTGGCGCTCTCGGCAGCAGCTGCTGGAGGGCCCGGCCGAGGCCAGAGCTGGTTCTTGGGCCCAGTGCCAAGACGGCTTGACTGCCACGGCTCCCCCAAAGCCGGGGAGCGCTGCCACCCTGGGAGCCAAGCTGTGGGCAGAACGCGGGCAGGGCCAGGCGGGGCTGGACCCCTGGGGGCACCAGCGGTTCCTCTTGCTCCGCAGCCTTCAGGGCCGCCCACCGAGCTGCTCCTTGGTTTCCTTCCGCCTCTCTCTGGGACTCCAGATTGTCATGGAAGTTATGTTAGTAATAACAAGGGGCACCTATCGTTGAGTGTGACTGCTCCTGAGCCTCGGTGGCATACGGTCCCTCCTTTATCCCTCACGGCCCCCCAGGAGTTAAGTAGTAGCGTACCTGTTTTGCAGTTGAGGAAACTGAGGCATGGCGAGCCGAATGCAGTGGCCTTCCCAAGGTCCACAGCCTTTCAGAGTTGGACCCAGCATTGGCCTTTGTCCTCGGATTGGGCCTCAGGTGTGAAGAGGTGGCCAGAGCTGACAGGCAGGGGGATGGGACCGGAGCTGCCCCCTCCAGCCTGGCCGCCTCATCCTCGCTCAGCCTGCAGTGCCTGGCGCCGCCTCCGGCCCGGGCAAGAAGCAGCTGCGCCCTTGATGAGCCTCGGGCACGTGGAGGTGCTTAGGGCTGGGCAGGTGGCAGCCAGAGGTCGGGGGAAGCAGCCTGTCCACTTGGGGTCTGCCGCTGGGTGTCCCGAGGAGCCCCCACGGAGGGAGCATCCCTGCAGCTTTGGGAAGAAGGCCTACGTAGAGGGGCGGTCTGGCTGGTTCTGTAGTGTTGGGGCGGGGGTGCTGCCTGGCTGCTGGCTCTGCGAGGGCTCAGCAAGGAACACGGGCCAGTCCTTCCTGTGTCCTCCTGAACTGGCAGCGGGGAGGGGACCGGAGTCTGCAGAGGAACGTCTGACGTGCCCCTTCTTTCCAGACCTTCCACCTGGCCCTGGGCTCTGTGTGTTTGCACGATGGCTTTGCGAGTCCCCCTCTTCCCAGCCATCCCTGGATGCCCATGCGGCCTCCACGCTCTCCCTGCCACCAGCATGGATGAGCCTAGAATAGCAGGAAGGGAGGTGTCCGCTGGCCCCGGGGGAGGGGACGCAGACGTCGCTAGGGATTCATGGATGGTGCAGCTTCTTGGGTATTTCTCTAAAAACAGGTCAGAGGAGAGCAAGTTTTTTGAATGTTCAAAGACAGTGATGACATGATATCAAATACAAAAATCGTCTGAATTAAAAAATGAGAACTTCCAAGTTTTAAGCTACTAGCAGCAGACTCTGAACAACCTGGGGTGACTCCTCAGACCTGGTGCCACCTCAGGGCTGAGCACTCCTCCTCTGGTGCCCTGGCGAGAGAAGCCAGTGCTGCCTGGGCAGCCTTTCCTGCTGGCCAGGCGTGGCCCGAGCGTGTTGGCTGAGACCGGGGAGAACCTAGACTCTGGGGGTCATGGGGTGAAGCTTTGGCCGCCCCCTCGCCACTGCCCTGGCTGCTGTCCCGACATGGGCAGGCGGGTCCTAGCAAAGGGGCTGCTCTCGTCAGGGCTGAAGCTCTGACACACACCCTGGCTCTACAGATATTATCGGGGGACCCACGGGGTCATTGTGGTTTATGACGTCACCAGTGCCGAATCCTTCGTCAACGTCAAGCGGTGGCTTCACGAAATCAACCAGAACTGTGACGATGTGTGCCGAATATTAGGTGAGGTTGGACCCTGGGGCGAGGACGCCGGGATGGTGGGTGGCCGGAGGTGCCCTTCAGGGCTGGGCTGACTCTGCTTTGCCTTGAAGTGGGTAATAAGAATGACGACCCTGAGCGGAAGGTGGTGGAGACAGAAGATGCCTACAAATTCGCTGGGCAGATGGGGATCCAGTTGTTCGAGACCAGCGCCAAGGAGAACGTCAACGTGGAGGAGGTGAGGCCTGGCTTCTCCTGGGGCGACAGGGCCAGTGCGCCTCTGGCTCTGCCCCACCCCACGGCCCCTTCTCCCCACTCCTGGCCTGCTCTGGGCATGAGTGACAAACGGAAAACGTCACTGTAACTGCCATTCACTGAGTGCCTGCTGCATGCCAGGCATTAGGCCAGGCCCTTTGAAGTTCTAAGCTCGTATCTCAACAGTCCTCTGAGGTAGAAAAAATACAGAAACTGAGGTTCCAAGTGTTTAAGTAACTTAAGGAATATCCCCCAGCTAGTAAGAGGCCGAGTCAAACCTTGATTCGTCCCTCGCCAAAGTCTCCAGTCCTCTGCCTCCTCGGCCCTCCCCGGGCCCTCCCACAGTCACCTCTTCCTGCTCTTGCTGTCCCTGGGGCCTTGGCTGCCTGCAGAGGCCAGGAGCTGTGGCCTCGAGCTCAGGTAGGCAGCTCCCGCACGCTCCTCAGGGGCTGCTGGGGACGCGTGGCCCCTGCAGCCTGGTTGAGCCTCCGGCCTGAGGCAGTGTCCCGTTCACTCCTGCTGGGCTGTGGGAAAGCAGTTGGGTGCCACGGGCCCCGCCTGGCTCCACTTGCCAGCCTTAGGGGCGCCCTGCGCCAGGGTGTGTGGAGCCCAGAGGCCCGAGGGAAGTCGGGACCCCCGCTGCTTCTGGGGTCACGTGCTGCCCAGAGGTGGGAGTACAGGCTGCTCACCGTGGCTGGGGACTTAACCTTTCTGGGCTTCCTCTGTTCATCTGCAGACTGGGAGAGGGGGAGCCCCTGCCTTCCATGTGGGGACGGCTAAGTGAAGAAAGTCACGTCCAGCGCTTGGTGCACAGTGCACGCCCTGTAGATAGTGGCTGCTCCCGCCGGCACGGTGACTGCTACTCACCTTGCCGGGGCCGAGGGGAGGAGAGGACTGTGGCGGCAGATGGAGTCTCACTGGATCTTGGCATCAGAAGGAGTCAGGAGTCTGGGAAAGGTTCTAGGCAGGACCTCTGGGCCCCATGTGCAGTGAGGTAGCATGGAGCTGGAGGCTCTGGGTCCCCTCCCACCTGTGAGTGGAGCAGGGGCACCTTTATCTTTCTTGTCAGAAGATTCCAGCTGAATGAAAAGGGGTTCCTTCTCTGGGTGAAAAAAAGACCGGAGAACCCCTGAGAGATTGACTTCCCCGAGTCCACACAGCTCATGGGTCTTGATGTTCCTTTTTTTTTTTTTTTTTAAAGAGATGGGGTCTTGCTATGTTGCCCAGGCTGACCTCAAACTCCTGGGCTCAAGTCATCCTCCTGCCTCAGCCTCTCAAGTAGCAATGCTGTTGCTTTTTGACCTTTAAATATTCACCACCTCCTTCATAGAACAGGTTTTGAGGACACACGTACAAAAAAAATTTACAGTGGAAATAGCTGGGCCAGCAGGGGCCTCCTCGCTAGGTCTGAGGCCGGCCCTACCTCTTTCATCCCACAGATGTTCAACTGCATCACAGAGCTGGTTCTTCGAGCAAAGAAAGACAACTTGGCGAAACAGCAGCAGCAACAACAGAACGACGTGGTGAAGCTCACGAGGAACAGTAAACGAAAGAAACGCTGCTGCTAATGCCCCAGCCCACGCAGAGACTGCGCTGCGGTCCATCCCCCAGCCCGAGGCCCGTGGGGGGGTCCTCGGGGGACAGTCTCAGTTTTGTGCCGTTATTTAAAGAATTCTCTCCACGTTTTTGTATTGGGAGGCACCATCGGCACTTCCTCCTCCCCGTCCCGCAGTGCCAAGAAGGTGTTGGACAAGCCTGCCCTCCCCTACCGGTGCCCCCTCCTCCCTGGCCAAGGCGCCTGGACCTGGCGAGGACGCTGCCAGCCGAGCGGACTGATTAACCAGAGTCTGTACATAGTGTATATTGCTCTAACCAACCGCACACCTCGTCCTGCTCTGGCTTTTGCCTCCTTAACGCCAACCTGCTGCAACGGACCCTCCCCGCTCCCCTCCCCGTCCCATCGTACTGCCAGCAGCTTCCGGAGGAGACAGCGTCGTGTTCTTAGCCGTGTAGCTGGCCACCCTGGGCTGGTGAAGTGGGCTCCGTGTTGCTCGTTCTCTCCTACAGGCTGTCGACTTCTGTCCCCGGCACACAGGGTCTCGGCCTCTGTGGGGCCCCTGCCTGCTCTCGTCCCTCCCCATTGTCCTCTGGGAGCTGGGGCACACGGCCTCAAGGTGGGCCCCAGCCCTGCGGTTCCCCAGAGGCAGGCAGTCCTGCCCTCTGGCCAACAGATTTCTTCTCCTGCCTTTAGATGCCTCTGCGCTGCAAACCCAGGGGAGCCACGGCTTCTAATTTATACCAACATGTTTCAGTTCCAGCAGAAAGGTAGGGGTATGTTTGCACAGAGATGGGGCTTGCAGAGGGCTATAGAAGCATTATTTTAACAGATAAAATGAAGCCAAATCAAATGAATTAAGTTCCTCACAATTATTTTCTTTCCCTGAGGTTTGACTGGCACAACACTAAAAGTTGTGGCCACCTCACTTTGGGTCCAGTGTTTTTAGAAAAAGCAAAAAGGCTTCCTGTCATTGTGGGACCAGGCTCTTGGCTGTTTCTTGGTGGGAACGGAGAAGGGGCCTCCCACTGGAGTTTGAGTCCCTGATGCAGTGCCAGGCATCTGTGGACCTGGGCGTGGGTGCCAGGGGCTGTGGGGACGACAGCCCTGGGCTGGGACGGCAGGCAGCCTCGGACCACTGACAGAACTGTTGCAGGGCAAAGGTGGCAGGAGGATTTCTTAGCGGGTGGAAAGGAGTGGCTGGGGGCCTGGAGGAAGGCTGTTTGACCCACCCCAGCCCCCTGGAGGAAAAACCAGGGTCATCTGACTTGATTACTGCCCCCTCAGCCTGGACACTTCATTCCCCTTTCTCCTAAAAGGATCAAGTAACTGGGAAGAATTTATTTCAGCACCGTGGTGGGTTTTATTAGATTTCCTTTCCTAGGCAATTTCCAGGCAAAGCCCTGATTGGACAATCACATCACAGATCACACTGCAGATTTTCCATGTTAACACTGTGGATGGGTTTTTAATCAATAAAAACTGGGGGTTTCTTCTCACCTGGGGGTTTCTTCTCTCCACTTGCCCAAACTGCCAAAAGCCGGTGGTTCCGCGTGGCAGGCCTTCACTCGGGAGCCACGGGATGGGGCTGCGAGCTCGGTGGACCTGGAAAGGGGGTGGGGGGGCATGGAAGGGGGCAGGCAGCCCCCTCTGGTCTGTGGAGCCAGGAGCAGAAGCGGGGGCTCTGTCCTCAGGACTGTCCTGGCTGACCATGGGCCCCGTGGGGACACTCGGCACTCGGGCTCCTGTGCTGGTGAGTGGGGGGCACACTTGTCCCTGAGCATTCAGGTGAGGCCGGCGCGGGTGTGCTTGCGAATTCAAGCAATAAGAGGGGTGTCCTGGGAGCTTCCAGCCGGGCTCGAGGTGCCCATGGCTTCTGGCAGTTGGACCTCCAGACCCAGGCGGTGGGGGGATTTTGGCGATGACGGTGTGCCTGTCCCACTGAGTGTTACACGCATGAATGGGGGGTTGTGGGTGGGGGTGGGGGACTCAGGGCTGAACCGATGTCCTAGTGGACCTGATGTGAAATTCTGTCAAAACTTTTCAATGGTTTGCTAGGATTATTTCTGTATTGAAAGTTTCTAATTATGCTTTTTAAAAAAAAAAAATACTAAAAATAAAGGTTCAAGCTGCCAAATTTTCTTCCAGGGTCTGTTTGCTCTCCCTCCAGCTGTGCTCTGGGTGGGCCTGGCTTCTTCCCATCTGTTATGTCAGCTCTTGTTCTTGGCCTCAGCCTTGCACAGGTGCCTGTTGGGGCCTTGGGACACTTGCAGAAGCCAAGTCCATTTTCTCCATGAACGGCTGGTCCAGGGGTGAGTTTCCACTCTAGTCTGCAGTGGCTGGGAGCACACGCGGTAAGATGCCAGGGGAGGCTCCGTGTTGATTTGCACGCCCAGAAGGGCGCTGTGGAAGCCTTTGCTTGGGGTGGCTTCCTTCTGGCTCAAAGTTTCTACTAGGCGCCAGGGCCCTGGCTGTAGCCTGGGGAGCAGTGCAGATGCTGTGGCACGGGCGGGGAGGCAAGGCCTGGCAGGAGTGGTGGCGGGGGCAGGATGCTGCCACCCTCTAGGAGAGATGTCCTGGCCAAATCCATTGACTGGAGAGCAGCATCTGAGGTGACCTCTCAGGCGCGGGGGACGCGCTATTCCTACCTCTCCAGCAGCCCCGTAGTGGGTCCACCCCTCCAAGCGCCCAGAGACCAAGACAGGAAGCTGTGTAGAAATTCATTTTATTCTTATTCAGACTACTTTCAAAAGAAGCAGTGGTGTGCTGTTTTTCTAAAAATATGCCTTTATAGATTTATATATATAGTATATTATAAAATCCATACATGTATTTACATGATTGCTACATACAAAATTACAGCACTGTGGTATGTACATATCTATAGGTACATTCTTTCCACTCATCCCTGCTGTGCTTTCCCATGAGGAAGGGAGACTGAATCGGCTGCGGGCTGGCCCGGCCGCAGAGCCTCTGCCGGGGCCTCGGCGCGGACGGCGGAGCAGCTGCTGAGGACGGAGCAGCAGCAGGGGCAGGCCCTGGCCTGGTGCAGGCCTGGCGGGTAGTAGCTGGAGGCCCCAGCGGCCTCCCCTCTCCCGTGCACTCTGTGGTGCCGAGACTGCCCTGGAGGTGGGGGGGTGGCTGACCACAGACCCCTCTGGGGCCATTCTGCAGCCCAGACTTGCTTGGCTGGGCCAAGAAGTTGCGTACGTGAGGGCGCAGGGGGCTACAGGAAGAAGAGACCCCTCCCAGCCCCGGTCCTGTGACGGGGAAAGGGCTGGGTGGCTGAAGCCAGCAGTGGACCAGTGAGAACACACTGCCTGGCCTAGGCCCTGCTGAGGGGCAAAGACCGCACTGAAAGAGGCTGAGGGAGAGAGCAGTGGTAGCCAGGGGACAGGGCCTCCCTCCCTGGGGGAGCTTGGATAGGCCCCAGCTCTTAGGCCCCATGGCCGCCACTCAGCCTCCTGCCCGCAGAGGTGCTCCGGCAGAGGTGCATGCACGTGGGTGAGGGGCCACCGCCTCCCCCTTAAGCTCCCCGGGCCAGGGACTGGGGAAGGAAAAGAGGCTCAGGCCTCCTGAGGCATGCGGAGCAGGGCCTCCATTCCTTCTGTTACCCATCTCCTTAAGCTGAGGCAGCAGTACCTGCGGGGTGGGCTGCAGTCCGTTGGGTCTGAGCCGCAGAGCCCAAGCAAGGGACCACTCTGGGAAGCGGCCTGAGCCCTGCTCGATGACAGGATCCTGGGGAAGGCTTGGCCAGGTGGCAGGGTGAGGGCAGCCTTCAGAGGCCAAGGCAGGCCCCCACCTTGAGGTCTCCATCTCTGCTGGCAAAAGGGGGCACCCACTGGGCCCGAGGCGGGGGCAGTGCAGCTGCCAGCCTGAGGCCTCCGGGGAGGCCCTGGCCCCCGCCGCCTTTTAAGCCTCCTCCAGTCCACCCATCCTTGGTGGCTTGACTCCTCCCAAGTTAAATTTTCCTGAAGAATGAGAAGAGCCGTTTGCCTTCAGTGGTGCTGGGCTCGTCCCCCCGCCCTGCACCGTGGCCCCTGGAGAAGGCAGCAGCCGGCTGGTTCCGTTCCTTCAGGTGCGTGTCCATCAGCTGCCGGTCAATGACCCTGTGCATGTCATCCTGCAGAGGGGAGGGGAGAGTGGCCGGGGCTGAGCAGGGGCTCTGACCCAGCCTTGGGGGTGGACAGGGAGGTGGCGAAGTCGGACAAACGGACGTGAGATGAGGATGAGGGATGAGATGAGTGAGCGGCTGCAGCAGGGGCTACCCTGACCGAGAAAAGCGGTGAGCAGGGGCACAGTGCTGGATGCACGAGAGGGCCCGGGCTGGCTTCTCCCCGCAAGTGTCACCCCACCAATCCCCACCTCCCGGGTGACCACCTGGATGGTCTGTCCCTATAGGCCCAGATAATGGTGCAGTCCCTAAGCCAGCACTGAGCCTCCCATGACCAGCCCTCTGGGCCCTGTGCCCCATGGGGCTGGCTGGTGCCTCTGGCTTGGTCTGCCACCCCTACCCTTGCAGGCCCTAGGGTGACCTCGGCGTGCCAGCTCTCCAAGCCCAATGGCCTGGCCTCAGGGGGCTTCTCCTGTCCTTTTTTCCTTCCAATTATTTCCAGCCTGAGCTACTAACAGCCACGCACCACTGGCAGCCCCAGTGGCAAAGAGTCTCCCTGCTACCAGCGAGGCTCCTATCTGTGGCAGAGTCACGGGCATCACAGACGCCAAGGGTGGTCACGCACCAAAGGGTTGTCCGACCATTTCTTTTAGCTTCCTCACGGGGGTAGGCAGGACCTTTCCCTCTCCAATCTGCCCCCCGTTGTCTAGAAAGAGCTTCCACGTCCCGCCCCGCCTTACAGCACCTTCTCCGCGCGGTGGAGCGGCTGCACTCTCTCCCCTCGAGCCGCTAGATTCTGAGTCTGTGTAAGATGCTGTTTGACAAAAGGGTTCCGCCACTGACAAAGTTTGAAAACTACTGGCTTGGAAATACAAGCGGCCCTGTGTAATTAACAGCAGCAGCAAAGGTAACACGCATCTGCCTGATTCCTTCGTCCTTGAACCTGGCGGGCTCTGGGCTATCCTTGTAAAAACACCCTTTGGGGTGGGGGCTCCCTGCGGCCGGCAGGTTGCAGCAGGGCAGCCACTGGAGAGGAGGGCGGGAAGCCGGGCTGGCCAGGCCCCGCTGCCTCACCAGCTCGCCTGCCGCCGCCTCAGTCTCCCCTTGAGGGGCGCAACACTGCACCGACATGACGCCGCGCTCCGGCACACTCGTTGCAGGTGCCAGTGAGTACAGCCCTCTCAGCCTCCCTGCTCTCCAGCCTTCCTCTCGTCCCCGTCCCTGTCCTCCTTCAGTCTCAGCTCTGTCCTGGCACCTCTCCTCCCGTCTCCCTCCTTCCCTCCCTTCCCTTTCTCCACTTGCCCCTCAGATCCGACACTGTGCCAGGTGGTTGCCGACGCACGGTACCTACTTCCAAGGCTCCGGTGCAGAACCCCTGGCACAGTGTCCTGCCCTAGGACATGCTCAATAAAAGCTATGTCACATATGACACAGGAGCAAAAGGCCTTTCAGAAAAAATCCTTTCAAAGCTGCCGCTGTTTTTTTGGCACATTGCACACTGTATTTCTGCACTTCAAGCAATCAGATTCGTCAGGGTAACCCCACTTCAGAGCTTCACAGACACATGCTGCCCACAATTCCACGCTCGCTGTTCCTTCAGTGGGCAAAACAGCCATTTATGAGAAGGTGGCACCGAGAAACCAGGGCCAGCCCATTGGCACTGGGTCACATGTGCCCAGGAGCTCACTGGACATGACGGTGACAGGAGGAGCAAGGCCGGGGCTCACAGGCACGTCACACCGCACAGAAATGACGCCGGGCTCTGGCACACAGACACGGCGGGCCACGAGGGGAGGTGGCGAGGGCAGCACGGCGATGGCAGCGGGGAGAGGGTGGATGGGATGCAGTCTCGGTCTCACCTCAAAGGCAGGAGGGGTGTACAACTAAAGCTGTTGATACGGGAACTGAGAAAGGCCACTAGATCAGAAACCAAAGGAGCCAGATAGTAAAAAGCCCTGAGGAAGCAAACTGCAGCCGGGAGAGAAGAGAGAGAACGGCGGTAAGCCGGGGCCTGGCCAGCTGGCTGCCAGGCAGGCATGGGGCCAGTGACCAGCACCCTGTGGGAGGGCCAGTGCTCCGGCTACCAGCCCGACAGGGCCCTGGGAGGAACCGTCACCGATCGCCTGCCTTCCACAGTGGGGTGCACCTTGTAAAGCCGCAGGTGGCTTTGCATCTGTCTAGTCGGGATTTCTTGGAGAGAAACGTTAATGATGACACCCACATCCTGAAATTGTGCTACCTCAACCTCATTGACAAAAAGCCCAGCACAGCCCCAGCAGGGAGCCATGTTAGACCCTGAAAACAGTGGCCACAGAGATGGACAAACTGATTCATTTTCCCCGGGGCCTGTGCCAGCACAGCACTCTCTGGAAAAAGGAGGCTGGCCCTTAAGAAGGGGAAGGGCAGCAGCTGCAGTTGTAGAGAGCTGCTGAGCTGCATCCAGCTGTGATTTTCATCCAATCGTATAGGGCTTCCTGGGCCCTCCATGTCAGCCAGCTGTTTCTCCTTTTAACATAGCCCAGACTGAAGCAGTGCCCTATTCCAAGCCTGGAGGTGACGACACCTCCACACGGTAGTAGCCTGGGGTTTGTTGCTCTCAAGAGTGTCCCTGAACATTCTTCCCTAGGGAATGGGGAAACACGAGCTCTGGATTTTGCCAGATGAAGACTGGGGTTACTGTTCACCCAGTCCCATGGGACCCGCTAGTAGCAAACTCTCCTTCTTATACTCTGCTTGGGTTTGGAGACTCCTCCTGGAATCTTCCCTCACCCTGGGTCTCAGGGCTCTGACTTACCTGCCAAGCCTCCAGCTGCTGTGAGAGGTTCAGCTTCTGCTGAATGGCATCCAGCAGCTGGCTGTTCAGAGACATCATGTCCATCCTGCACTTGGCGAGTTCCAGCTCCACAGCATTTTTCCTGCAAACAGACAAGCCAGGGTGAACACAGGTACCTTGTGTTGGAGACATCTGGTTCTTTATTGGGGAACCTACCTGGAGTCTACAGGATGAGGAAACAGGCTCCGACCCCCAACTCCCAACAGTAACTAACAGCAACTCTGTTGCTTGCAGAGGGTTAGTTTGCAACATGTTTTCACATACATTTTCTCAAATTCATAACTTGTAGGTGAAAGGATTGTCATCCCCACCTCACAGATGAAGAAACAGAGGTTAAAAGTAGTTGAAAGATGATGATACCAAAGTGAGGACTGATACCCAGAGAAGATCAAAGGCCTCACACAACACAAAGGAGCTACTCATCCTTCCCCAGAGGCCAGTCTCTATGGGAGAAGGTAGGGGGACTTGTCCTGCTGGTATAGAGAGGGCTCCTTTATTTTAGCAAATCCCCCCTTAAGGGAACTGTCCTGACGATACAGATGTGTGCAAAAATTGCCACCCATCACAGCTTAGCTAATCAGAATATCCAACAGTTAAAGAGCTGGTAATTAATTCTATGGTGGAATACAGTCCCCAGTAAAAGCCATGACGCAGGGTACGTGCTGACAGTTCATAATGTGTTGCTATATAGAGAAAAGCACCAGGAAGCAAGGTCTAGGATGACACTAGCTTTGTAAAACAAAAACTGCCTGTGTTGAAAGACATACACAAAAACGTCTATTGGTTTTTTCTGGGTGAGGATGTCCGATAGGTAACTTACCCCCACCTACTTTTGCATTTTGCATTTTCACATTTTGTGTGTTTCACGTATTGCTTTGTTTGCCTTTCCCCAAATTTCTATTCAACGTAAAAGAAGATTAATTTTTGGGGCTGTGGAAGGGACTCACTTTGGGTGCCCTTTGCAGAGGCAGCCCTGTTGCCCAGCTGTGGAAACATGCATTGTTCAGCCCTTGCCTTCATCAACCGCTCCCCCAAGCACTTGAAACAGCAAAGCTAACAAAAGCATCCTCCTTGCACAGGGCCAGCGACCAATGTGCACGGCCCAAGGACAGCTAGAGGATCCACCTGCAGAGGCCGCCAGCTCCAGCCTCGCTCTGGAAGGCGACAGCACTAACCCGAGCTCAGCCGGAAAGAGAAGCAGGTGGGCCCCATTTGTAAAGTGCCCAGGCCACCACGACCAGCATTTCCTCTTTGGCCTCAGGTCTACTGAGCAATTAGTCACCCACCGACACCCCAGACGGTGCCCCGCCCGCCTTCCCCAGAGGAGCCGCTCCAGACAGCTCGGCCACCGCGCCAGCCCCGCCCACTGCGGCTGCGCGGGGCGGGGACGGGACCGAGTCTGCCCAATGGGCGCTGGGGCTCCGGGGCCCCAGGCTGCCTCTGTCACGCCCGCTGCTATTGGTTGGCAGCGAACAGCGGAAACACTCGCGTGGCGCTGGTTGCCATGGACGCCCGCCCGCGGTCCGGGAACCTCAGAACCAACCCCTGGCGCCCCGTGGAGGCTACGGCTTCATGAGCTTCCGGCGTCTCCGTCTCCGTCTCCGGCAGGCGGCGCCACGAGCAGCCGGAGCCCCGGAATGTGCTGACTAACGCCGCGCCAGCCCGCCGTGCCGTGCGCTTCCTGCCTGCAAAGTCTCGGCCGCGCGCTGCACCGTCGGGACGCTCGCGGACTGAGGACCCCACACCGGGAACGCACAGCTACGGAAGTCGCTGGTCAATATGTTAATCGTATTTTTAAAAAAGGAATATTTCCACGAGGTAGAAGAATTCGTTTTTTAAATGACACCACCAGTAACTGACTTGTTTTTCTAAGGCAGAGTGCTAGCCCCCAATTTTTTTGTTTTTACAGAAGGTCTTTTCCCTGCAAGGAGATAAAATTGTTAACTTTCCTGACATCTATTGCACAGGATAAGGTAACCTTAAGCTTCATGCAGTCCAGTGAAGAGAGGGAAGTTATTTTTCGTAGGGATTCTCACCCTAGAATCACGGGGTAAAGAAGTAGCCCCAACCCCTACGATTCAGACTGCACTGTTCTGGGGAGGCCCTTGCATTGGGGAGCTCCCCAGATGATTCTAGCGCAGCCAGGATAGAGATGATGCATATGAAGTATCTTGTAAAACCAACATCCTATACAACTGTGGGTGTGGTTCCCTCTTTAAGTGATTGCTTAGGTCTGTTGTCTCAATTCTTAGATACCAAAAATTTCACTTCTAAGGGGTAGAAAAAGAACTATCCTCCTGGAGAGATCCAACAGCCTTCTTCCTCATCCAGCCCTGTTCTGTAGGGGTCCAGGAAAGACAGGGCCCTCATTCCAGAATTCTCACTGGGAGCTTCCTGGCAGGCAGAAGTTACAAAATGATGAGTCAGACTCCAGGGTATTAGCTGAGCCTCCTCTGATGGCAGCCAAGGGCATGCATAGTTTCATGGAGATTTGGTAGCCTCATGGAGATTTGGTAGCCTCCTCTCTCACCCAAGTGGCAGAGCTAGGTTTTACTTTTCTTTCTTAAGAGAAGGGGACTGGACAACTTTTTTCTTTTTCCTTCCTGTACTGTGACACTGCCTCTGGCTCTATCTCCCACCTTCCATCCTAATGACAGATTATAGTCCTATTTTTTTTTTTTGAAGAGACAGGATCTTGCTCTGCTGCCCAGGTTGGAGCACAGTGGCGTGATCATAGCAACCTCAAACTTCTGGACTCACGTGATATTCCCAACCCTAGCCTTCAAAGTAGCTGGGACTACAGGCGCACACCACCACACCCACTAAGCTTTAAATTTCTTGTAGAGATGGGGTCTGTGTTGCCCAGGCTGGTCTTGAACTCCTGGCCTCAAGTGATCCTCCTGCCTTGGCCTCCCAAAGTGCTGGGATTACAGGTGTGAGCCACCATGCGCTGCCTGGTCTAATCTTAGTGTTCGGCCTCATCTGCTGTCTTCTGCTTGTCCAGCTGAGAGGAGGTGACCAACCAGTGTCCTTGTAACTTTATTCTGCTTTTTATCCCCAATAGGCTTCCACAATTTTTTTTTTTTTTATGAGACAGAGTCTCGCTCTCTTGCCTGGGCTAGAGTGCCGCGGAGTCAGCGTAGCTCACAGCAACCTCAAACTCCTGGGCTCAAGCGATCCTCCTGCCTCAGCCTCCGGAGTAGCTGGGACTACAGGCGCACGCCACTGTGCCCGGCTAATTTTTTCTATTTTTAGTTGTTTGGCTAATTTCTTTCTATTTTAGTAGAGATGGGGTCTCGCTCTTGCTCAGGCTGGTCTCGAACTCCTGAGCTCAAGCAATCCTCTCACCTTGGCCTCCCAGAGTGCTAGGATTACAGGCGTGAGCCACCGCGCCCGGCCTAGGCTTCCACAATTAACATCTTAATTTTACCATTTTATTCCCTAACTGTATCACACAAGTTCACCCTTTGTTATTCATAAAAGTACGCCCCCTCCCCTTCCTATCACACTGCTACTCAAACATCCACTAACTAAATGTACCGGGAATCCAGGGGCAAAGATACACAGGTATGTGAGCCGCCAAGAATAATTCCTAAAATGAACCAGAAATTGACAGACAACCTGATGAGGTTCTGACCAGATAGAAAAGGGGATCCAAAAGTAAAACGGAAATGGAGATAATGAAAATGATTCAAAAGAACAGAAGAGAGGGGAAATGTGTGTGTGGAGGTGAGAAGGGGAGAAAGTTAGGGTGTGAGGAATTTTAAAGGCAGAAATTAAAATGTATGTCATATTATTTTTCAGAAAGGCATATGGTATCTTATTTATAAATCGTTTCAAAAAAGCTTATTTTAGCTTCCTAACAAGCAGCAGTGTGGCAGAGGGGAAAGGATATTGGAAAGATAGGAGCCAGGAGGACTGAGGTGGAGGCCACAACTGCCTGTGACCTTGGAAAGTATTTCTCAGTTTCCTCATCTGTAAAATTGGGATGAAAAATGTTTACTTCTTACTGTGGTTGGGAGGATTAAAGGATGAAAGTTTTTTGTAAACAGTAAAGTGATGTACAAATGTTGCCATTAATGTGTTGTAAGTGGCTGAAAAGCAGATGCTTTTTTGGTAAGTTTTATCTCCTCTTGCTCAGTGAATAGGGGCTGGATGAGTGCAAGTTAAATAATTCACGGGGATGGGGAATGGGTAAAGGTGGTTTTTGCCTATGTACTTCCTGATTTTCTGTATGTAACAGAATGCATTTATATATCTCTTACGTGTTAATAAAAACCCAAAACATTATTTAAAAAATGACATACTTTATCAGAAATATAGAGGACAAGGAAAATGTTAAATGACACGATGGGTTGCAATTAAACCCAGAATGTAGTAAAACTCTGAGACAAATGATCCAATTTCTTCAACAAATAAATGCAGTATGAAAAAGAAAAAAGGAACAAAAGTGTTACAGACTTTTAGGACATATATCAATTAAATAGAATATGTGGACTTTGGAGTCTGATTCTGATCATTTAAAATGGATTTTAATCAATAAAAAGATATTTATGGGATCACTGAGGAAATTCCAGCATTGACTGGATACCCGATGTTATCGAGAAATTATTGGTTTTTTCAAGTGTGAAACCTGTATTGTGGTTGTATGTTTTTTTTAAAAAAGTTTTTTCCTGGTAGAGATACATACCAAAGTGTTTACGGATGCGATGACACTACATCATGTGATCTGTTTTAACATAATCCAATGGGGAGGTGGAGGAAGTGGGTAAGGATATAGATGAAAGAACATTGGCCATATGTTGATTAGTGTTGAGCCTGAGAGGTGGTTAGAGAGGGATTCATCTCGTGTTTTCTATTTTTGCATATGCTTGAAAATGTCCATAATAAAAAAGTAATTAAAAAATCAAAAAGCTAAAAATAAAAAACATGAGGTAGATATATATGAAATTGGAAAGCTCTCTAAGATATAAGTGGAAAAAAAGACACATCCCATTGATGTTTAAAAAAACATGGAACTACTAGATTGTATATACACCTATATACACATAGGAAAAAGATCTGCAGAAAATGCATACCCAACTGTCAACAGAGGTGTCTATCTGGGGAGAATAGGACTGGGGGTATGGGCAGGTAGTGGGGAAACTCTTTTACCTTTGTATTCTTCTATATGATTTAATTTTAAAAATTTAGCATATATTCAATTTTATTTTAAAAATAAAATTAAGCCATCCCCACTCACTTTGCAATGGCTTCGTCCCGGTCCCTGATGGCCTTCTGAAGCTGCTCCTTTGGCTCCTTGTCCTCAGATGTCACTCTGAGTCGGTCTCTCTCCTCTTTGAGTGCAGTCATCTCCACACTCAGCAGTGTCACCTAACAGGAGAACAAAGGAGGAGGAACGTGATGATACCACTGCTACTGGCCTGTGGTGGTTTCCTTCCAAGACGGAAAAAGAAACAAAGAAACCCTAGGCAGGCACAGGGTTCCCGTGCAGCGTGCAGGCCAGTGTTCCACTGCAGTCCTGATCTGAGAGAGGGCCCATCTCTCCTGAAGACAGGATGCCACATGCTAGGCTCAAGCTCAGCGGCAAGGGGGTGAGGCAAAGTTCAGCTCTGGTCCTGCAGCCGAGGACTAGATCCCCTTTGTACTCAGCATACCACACCACCTCCTTCAGCTCAAGGCACTCCAGGTAACTAATGAGAAAAGACCATAAATGCATCTGAGCTCTGAAACATTTTTAGGGGATAAGGACTCCAGTCTTGTTTCCAGCCATCTTCCACTCAACATGGAACGCTGCTATCAATAGCCTGAGACCTGGCACAGCTCCCCAGGTCAGAGCCACAGGGAATTTAGATACCTAAATGACGTTATCATCTTTTCACTTCAAACGTGGTCCATGCCTTAGCGAAGGTCAGCACAGCCCACTCAGGCCGTCACGCTCAACCTGGGAGTCATCCTTTGGCATGAGGCCCCTCTCTTAGCGGCTCCATCAGTGACCACAGCGTATCCACCCCTCAGTACAGTAGCCCTGTGTACACACCATGATCTCGGTGGTGGCAAGAACCGTGTCGTATCCATCTGTGCATCCCAGAGCCTGTGTGCAGTGCTTAATCCTAAAACACTTGTGCAGTGGACAATTACCATTTTTTGGCTAGTCATCATCCAAAATCTCTTCCTATTTTGGGGGCACTCCCGGTTGTTTGAGTCTTGGTGGGACACAGGGCATTACCTCCCACTAAGGAAGCCAACAGGGGAAAGACATTTCCTGGGCCTGAGTGAGTGACCTCAACTTTTTAGTCACCTCCCACCCCCACCTGAGACTGAGGCTCTTCAGGGAGTATAGCAAAGCCATAGGTGAGTAGGGAATTATTAAATATTTACAAGGGCAGGAGACTGTTTCTGTTGTCCCCTTCCCATGGCTACTTCCTGTTTTGGAGCCAAGTTCTCCTACCTTCCTGTTCATTCTTACAAGCTATCAGATTTAATTCCAATAATTCTCTTTCTGCTTAAGTTAAGCAGAGCATATTTCTGTGGTTTGCAACCAGAAACTCGCCTGGTAGAGCTTCTGATAAATATTTGTTGAATACTGGAAGGGTGGGAACCTCTTCTCAGCTGATAGGATCAGACATGAGTCAGGATGCCTGACCCTGCCCTCCTGTGAATTGTTACACACACACTGACATTCTTCCGAGGGAGGATCCATCCACAGAGGTCTGTCTGCCTCCCTCCCACAAGGGCACAGATGCCACCTTTCAGTATACTCTGCTCTTCAAGCTCCAGGTCTAATCATCTTCAGGTAGAATGGAGCTGAGCACAGGCCACAGGACTAAGGCTGAAACCAAGCTTCCCTGGAGATACTTCAGATGACACCCCACATGAAGAGGGATAGAAGGACAATTTGTTACTGTTATGAACAATGGATTTTGGACTCTTTGGAGTCTGGCAGGGCAGCCAGCATTTCTCTATGGATGACACAACAGTGTGTAGACTCACATTGAGAACATTCAGAAGCCACCTCCTCAACCTTTTTGGCACCAGGGACCAACTTTAAGAAAGACAACTTTTCCATGGATGGGGGGGTGGGGTATGATTTCGGGATGATTCAAGCGCATTACATTTATTGTGAACTTTATTTCTATTATTATTATTACATTGTAACATAATGAAATAATCATATGACTCACCGTAATGCAGAATCAGTGGGAGCCCTGAGCTTGTTTTCCTGCAACTAGACAGTCCCATCTGGGGTGATGGGAGACAGTAACACCCGAAGTGTGTTGCTTATGTCCAGTCTACTCTGTAATCTTGTTTTGGTTGCTGTCACTGCAGAAAACCCTGCTCCACAAAGACAGGATGTTGGAAATGAAGCAGGCTTTTCAGTGCTTTTGTGGAAACCTCAGGATATTCCACCTTGACTTTCATCCAGAATGTATGGAGATTTGAAGTTGTCTCAAACATACTTTTCAGGGCACTGTCATTTGTGATCTCACACAGTTGATCCTCTTCTAGCATGGACAAAGTCGATTCACCTGGCTTATTCACAGATGAGTCGCAGATCCATTCCTTCACAGTTCAGGGGTCTTCTGTGGTTGGAAAGTAATGTTCAACCTCTTTTGAAAGCTGAGACAGGTGATCATGCACCAGCTGGGAGAAAGGAGGCCCTGGTTCAGTCTCTTTAAAAATCTCTGCTAATGCCTGAAACATGTCAAAAATCCCAATGTTCACTTGTCACCCCCATAATTCCAGTTTGGCTTTGAATGTAGCCACTCTGTCTGCAGACTTAAACACAGTCGTCCTTCTCCCCTGAAGTGACAGATTGAGTTTGCTGAGCAGGTTGAATATATCACACAATCAAGTTTTGCAACCCATTCTGTGTCACTGAAGTGTATAGCCAGTGGTGACTTTTTCTAAAAGAAATCTCTGGAGCAGTTCTCATAACTCAAAAATTCTGGCCAGTGATCTACCTTAAGAAAGCCATCTCACTTCTGTGTGTAAGAGAAGAGAAGACGTGTGTGCTCTGCGTCCATCTCCTCACAGAGCTGAGTGAACAGACGTGAGTTAAGGGGATATGCTTTCATGTGGCTGATAATTTTAACCATATCCTGTAAAACGTTGTTTAATTCAGGTGATGTCTTTTGGCTAGCCAGCACTTCTCTGTGGATCACACAGTGCGTAGACTCACATTCAGAAGCAACATCCTTGACCCAAGTAGTGAAACCAGAAAGTGGACCAGTCATGGCAGCCACTCTGTCTGTGCATATACTGACACAAAAGGACCAATTCAGTTTTCCTGATATGTAATCATTCGAAGACTTGAATAGTTCTGCAGCTGCGGTGTTGGCTGGCAACAAAAATGCACACAACATATCCTCATGCACAGCCTCCTGAAAAATATATAGCACAAAAACAAGCATTGTTTCCTTGTCAACATTGTCAACCTGGATTGCGTACCATGGTGACTCATTAATCCTGACAATTGTGCCTCAATACTCTCTGCTGTTTCATCAATTCATCTAGTTATGGTTCTAGCCAAAAGAGGAACATGTGCCACGTTTTGAACTGCAGCCTCTCCTAAAAGTTCACAGAAAATGTTCTTAGTGGCAAGCAGATCAACTCTTCACCAATAGTAAAGCTTTAACAATACGGGTAGCTGCTAAGAATGATGCTCTCAGTGCAGACACAGTGGATGAAGTGGTGGCCTTCAATCATTGCTTCTGTTCTTTGTGTTCACGTTTTTTTCTTTAGAAAAACTCCACAGGCTTGTCTTTTAATGCACGGTGTTCGGTCTCCATGTGGCGAAGCAGTTTTGAAGTTTCCATGGCTTCATTGGATAGCTGGTCACCACATATTATACAAAGTGGGCTTGGAGAATGTGAATCACCTGTTGTAATGAACCCGCAATTTAAGTAGGACTCTTGGTATTTTCTTTTAAATGCAGCTTTCACTTTGTTGGCAGTCTCAGCGTCTTCTGCTGTCTCATCATTGGGTCTTTCCCCCTTTTCAAAGAAGCTCCCCAGCGACATTTGTTTTTCACTCATTTTTGCTAGGGTTATGAGCTTGTGGGTTTACCAAAACTGTGACTGAGACAAGTGCTCAGTGCAGGAAAGAGGCATGGAGGGAAGTGGTAAATAAAATAATGGGTGGGCCACATGCAGATTAAAATAAGTGTTGGATTCTGACTTAAAGCCTGCCACCAGATGCAGCTGTATCATTGAAGTATATCAACTCACTTGCCACTATAAAGCCTGTCACCAGATGCAGCTTAACTGTCACTTGCCACTCACTGAGAGGGTTTTGATATGAGTCTGCAAGTAATTGATTTATTATGGTCCCTGTGCAGTCAGACCTCTCTGCTAACGATTGTCTGTATTTACAGCTGCTCCCCAGCACCAGCATCACTGCTCAGCTCCACCTCAGATCATCAGGTGTTATGTTCTCATAAGGAGTGCGAAAACTAGATCCCTCGCATTCGCAGTTTACAGTAGGGTTCTCGCTCCTATGAGAATCTAATGCCACCCATGATCTGGCAGGAGGTGGCGCTGAGGTGGTGATATAAGCAATGGGGAGCAGCTGTAAATATAGATAAAGCTTCACTTGCCTGTCACTCACATATACAAGAGAAGATGTGTGTGCTCTGCGTCCATCTCCTCACAGAGCTGAGCAAACCCACGTGAGTTAAGGACATGTACTTTAACATGGTTGATAATTTTAATCACATCCTGCAAAACACTGTTTAATTCAGGTGACATTTTTTGGCTACCCAGCATTTCTCTATGGATGACACAGTGCGGCCCAGTTCCTAACAGGCCACAGACCTGAATCCTTATTGGTACTATGCAGCCTGGGGGTCAGGGCCTGGTGATCTGTGTGAGAATAGCCCAAAACATCAGCTTTCCCAGTGGGGACAGCTGGGCGAGCAGGGTCAGAAGCCTGAGGGAAGCACAGGCTGGAACACCCACAGAGCAGCTACACGAACATGCACCCAGCCCTGAGGCAGACAAGGCACCAGGCAAGAAGCCCAGCCTTACCCTATTTACCAGCAGGTTCTGCAGCTAGGCAGGCCAGAACTCAAGAGCCAGAAAGCACCTGGCAGAGACAGACAGACCTTCACAGGCCAAATGAGCCTTGACATGGCCTTGGGCCAGCTGTGGACTAGTCAGGTGTTCTGCCAACTCAGTAAGGGACAGGTAAAATTATATGCTAGGCAAGAAAAGCCAGTATTTCATATGCTCCAAATAAAACTCCAGAAGAACTATTTGGCCCGGAAAACCTGGTCAAGCTAGAGCCCACCAGCCATGTGTCTTAGGAAAGGTGACAAGGGACTTACCCTCTGAGCCACACATACTTTTCATAAAAAGCAGGTATAAAAATAACTATTCCCCACCACCAAGTTGTAAGGATCAAACAAAATAACCCCAAGGGCCCAGCACAGTGCCTGGCACATGGTTGTAGACTCCACTCTCCTCTCCTGCCCTCAGGTCAGGACCTAATTGCTGACAGCTGTCATGAGAAGTCCCAGATTCGGGAAGCATGGGGAGCATGCATCACTGCCCTTTTATATCCCATGTTCAGTTCTACTACTGCAACGGGGCAAGAGGGAAACCAGAGGGAAGGAGGCTGGATGGCCACAGGCTCGAGGCTTCCCGTCACTTGATAATGGGAACCCACCCAGAACCCATAAGAGTGTCCCATTTTTAAGTCACGCTTCAGGAAGATCAATCCAAATCATGTGAGGGTGGGTAGGCTGGGGGAAGGCAGATAAATTGGGAAGTGGTGACCGCAGCCAGGGCGTGAAGGGCTGTGGGTCTGAAATAGCACAGGGACTTAGGAGGATGGAGGGAGGAGAGGGAATATGGCGAGACATTCCAGAGAAGTCACCCGGATTTGATTAGTGAAGCCCTCCATGCTCCCTGTCCTGCTCTCCTGTGTTTTCATGCCCCTTCCGGAGTAACTGGCATGCACTCTAGTTGAGCACAAAGGATCCGAACAACAGAACTAAGACTGTGTTTCTCACTGAGCCTCCTACAACTTGGGTTACTGGTTTGAGAGTCAGGTGAGGGGCCTCCCAGATAACTAGCTCTCACATTCTACAGACTAATCACCAAAGACCCTCACTGCTTCCTTGCATCTGTGTTGTGCTCACCAGAAGTGAGGGGTGGGACACGTGGGCTGTTGAGCATGGGGGAGGAGACAGTTCCTGGCCACAGGCAGGAGGGGCATGACACGGTAAGAGGGACTTGCGTTCTCAAAGCGCAATAATGGGTGCAGACTGGTTATCAGGTCAATGTGGCTACTGATTTTGTCTCAAACAGATAATTACCAGTCAAATTAAACCTCTTCTATTTAAAAATTTGGATAGGCTTCTGCAAGGCTGGTGCTGCTCCCCACCTCTGACCTCTGGGCCAAGTTTCCAGGAGAGAAAAGAGCCCCCTCAAGTGGGATGGCAGCAGGCTCAGAGGCTGGGTCACTCATCAGATGAGGTTTGAGCCTGGTCTGGGAGCTGTCTGCTGGAATCTTGGTCCCACCTAACCTCGTCTGGGCCCTGCCCCCAAAAGGCTCCAGAGATGGCTCTGACTGCCCTCATGACACTGTGAGGTCCTGGAGTACAGGGGCCCCACACATCTTCCTTTGTGTCCCTCAGGGTCTAGTGTAGTGCCAAGCACATAGTGGGTGTCAGCAGATGCTGAATTAACCTCGCGTGAGGAACGTCACGCCTGCTGTGATGGCTGCAATTTCCACAGTCATTCTGGAACTCAATCTGCATCCCACCCACTGCCTCGGGATGTCAGCGTTACTACCATGGGGCAGTTTCGGTGGGCGCAGTGTGGCTGAGAGGTTTTCTGCTTTGAGCATTTGTGAAGAAATGACCTACAGGAGAAGCCTGATTCTCTACGCCATGTGGGATGTGGGTGCGACCATCTGCTTGAACTATTTGAAAGGGAATCCACAGGAATTGGTCTAAACCAGTTATCAGCTGAACTTCTAAGGAAAATTCACTGGTGGAGATGGCTTCCTAAACAGTTTCAACGCCAGACTTCTGGCAACCTATACTTTGCTTATGTTTCTGAATGAAATAATGCCCTCTGGTGACTTTCTAGTTTTCTAATTCTGAGAAGCAAAAAAAAAAAAAAACCCCAAACAAAAAAATCACTCAATGTCAAAGAGCTGATAAGCAGGAAGCACTCCACAGAAATTTAAATAGGCTTACAAATAAATAAAGTTTTTATTAATCCAAAGAACTTTCAGATTCAACTTTCTGTTGCATTTTATTCTTCTAGTATGGAAGATCCTTCCCTAAGCCTGAACCTCTCCCTGGCCAGCGACCACTTGAGGATCTGAGGTTTTAGGCTGGAGAACATCTCTGGCTGCTCAAGCCCACTCCCCAGGGTTCAGCTAGGAGCAAGCCACAACTTTAAACAGTGTCTTTCTGTCCTTGTTATCTGGCCACTCACAGCAAAAATAGCACAATGATGGCTGTATGTGAGTATCTCAATATTTTCCAAGAAAATAATATGAGGAACACTAATAAGATGATACAAAAAAGATAGGAGTTTCTTTCTATAAAGGCATTTTAAATGTAAGAAATACTGACTGAGTGATAGCCAGGCTTCAATTCTATCTTGCAGAAATCTCATGCAGCAGGAAGGGATGAAAAGCTTTGGGCAAGGAAAGGCAAGGCCAGGCTGAGGGCACAGGGTTTAAGTGCTACTTGTCTGGTGTTGCTCCAGCCCCTACCCTACTCCCAAGGAGGACGGAATCTTTACACATAACTACAGTCAAAAGGAAGGGCTTTATTTATCTCCTAGGATAGGTTTTAGAAGCTCCTAGGTTGGGGCTGCACCCAAGTCCTTTAAAATTTTTCAGATCAGAATATAAACGTCCTCCAATGTTCTCAAGAGACATGAAATCACGATCAAACAGGAAAGTAACAGTGAGGGTAGGAGTAAGTTCTTCCAAAGCTAAAAAGCAAGCTGACAGAGGCGATAGCACTTAAAAAGAGGGAATAGTTCTGTAAAGATCAATTGTTTCGTGGTCTGCAAACTTCCTTGCCCAGAAGCTGCTGGAAAAACAGCCTGAGGGCTGTGGCACTTTAAACTGTCAGCATCCACCAGTCAGACTAACTTCTGGCTCTGTAGAAGGCAGCATGTCACTGGAGGAAATCAAGGACCAGCTATTCTTATCCCTGCCAATTTTACTTTGGCCTAAACTGCAGGACTGGTTTCTTTTCTTGAAGACATCCAGCTTACCTCAACTTCAGGTCACTGTCGCCTGAAGATGTGATGGGGAGAGGTGCGTCTCAGATCGAAGTGGGAGAGAAACGCACGAGGGTCCCGAGAGTGCCGAGGAATACATGCACACCCCCGTGCTGCACTGGAGATGGGGGTGCTCACCTGACTGTGGAGTCGCTGCAGCTCTTCTAGGCTTTGCCTCAGTTTGCCCCTCTCTCCTTCCATGAGCTCCCTTAGTGCTCGCGAGTCCTCACTGGTCTGCCTTATCTGTTCTTCTAAGGAGTCATCATCAAGTTTCCGGGAGCTCTGACAGCAAAAGAGAGAGCGCCAGAGACGGTGAAGGTGGAGAGAGACAGGGGGAGAGATCATTAGTGGGGGAGAAGGGAGAGATGCTGGGAGACAGACAGTAGCAGTGACCGAGGAGGGAGAAAAGAAAGGAGAGGAGAAACAAGTGGAGAAGAAAGAAGGGCTGAGGAAGAGAATGCTCTTGCTCAATTTCTGCACGTAATAACTAGATGTTCATTTTTGTTTCAGGCTTCAGGGGAAGGAAGCCATGTGGTGTGAACAGCACAGCACGCTCTGACAGCTCCTTTCTCTGCGATAACCTGGCCTTTACTACAACACATCCCACAAATCAATACAGCGTGGTCAGATGGAAGCAGCACCCTTCATCTGACTTTATCCAACATAGGTAGGAAGATACAACTACTCTGTAGGAGGATGAAACCTGAAGGCAAATAATAGCCTGAGAGCTGGGAGTGCGTGTGGAGGGTAAGTCAGGGAGAAATCTGCAGTGCCGCTGGAAGAAAGCCGGTCTGCCTAGGATGCCCACAGGAACATCCCTCTCCTCCACAGGTGGGCCACATCTGGAATTCTAAAGGGCCTTGGAGTTGATCTTCCCAACTTTCTATGCTTACTTATTAACTTTAGATCTTTTAAGTTTACCTACTCATAGCTAACCCCACCAGTAGGATCAAAGGGTGACAGAATAGTAACTTGCAGTTTTTACCTACATACAAACTTCTAGATTCAAAGTTTCCAAGGAAAGCCCTTAAATTTGAGGCGTACATCACTGTCTGGACAAAAGGCTCCACCTGTACCGGGTGTGTGCGGGAAGCCGACTTTGGAACCTTCCCTTCCCTGACACTCATTCAGTCCCTCTGCTTGATCGCCAGGAGTCAGTGCTCTCAAACAGTAAGGGCTCAGAAGACATTCTTGCAGATGTTTTATAGGGTTCCGCGGTTAACCTCACCTTCTGTGCTAGGTTCCAATCTCCCACTAGCCAGAGCCCGTGGGGTCAGGGCCTTCTCAGACTGGCCTCTTACCGTGGGCTCCATGCCGTCCACAATGCTCTGTATCAGTCTCTTGAGCTCGTTGAGGGCAGTGCGCAAGCTGCCGGCTGGCACATCCTTGGCAGATGAAGTTTCTGAAGATTCATCCATTGAGGAGTCCGTGGAGACAGCTGAGTCAGCACTGTCGTTCCCTCGAAGGTGTGAGCAGAGATAGCGAACCTGGCAGTAGGCTTCCCAGAGCTGCAGTCTCAGCTGTTCCACAGAGAATTATTCTTGATTATGGACTCTAAAGAAGACTGCCACCTGGCCATCTTCTTCTAGTACCTTATCCCAAAATACTGATACACGAGACGTCAGTTCTAGGAGAAAGTTCTAGTGTTCTGTTTTTTTAGATCATCTGTTCCAAGAAATAACCATATCTATTCTGGGTCCAGTCCATCTACACAGATGCCCAGTTCTTACGTCCCTGCTCTCTAGCTTTTCCCATTGGCCACAGAAAGCACTTCTTTATATAATCAATAACTTTGGTGGGAATCAGGGAATGGACAAGGGAACGAGTGGTTCTGGGTATTATGAAAAGTGGGAAGAGAAGCCATTTAGATGGAAAGCATGGATCGTGAATATTCCAGAACTCTGCCAATACAAAAGGTATGAGGCTGATTGTTATTCAGCAAGCATTTCCTAAGAGGCAATGGGGAGACAATGAGTGGGACTTGGCTCTACCTCAGATACTGCTGTCCTCTGGCAGTTCTGCTCATGTCTTGATGGACAAGGTGGGTGGAAAATGGAGGGGCAGGGACACACCTCAGTCAGGGCCTGCTTCATGACACTCTAGCCAGCAGGCTGAGGGGCTGGAACAGGCACAGAGCCACAGCCCCCACCAGGCTGGCAGCTGAGTGCTAGGGAGGATCATGGGTCCTGAGCACCCCCAGGCAGCCTCGCCTGCCGGGTGACAGGGAGGTCAGCACCTGTTCTCTCTCTTGCTCCAGCTCCTCGGCCTCCATGCTCTGCTCGATCTCTGACAGGAGGGATGTGCTGGTGGCGGCAGAGCTCTGCAGACTCCTCTCCTCAGTGAGTTCTTCCACCTTCACCTGCAGCTGTCGGTAGGAGAGACGCACCTCCTGGAGCTCCAGCTGGCTTTGATGCAGCTTTCAAAGAGAGGGCAAATGGCAGTGAAGCTTGCCAAAATCCAAAACCAAGAAAAACTGACCCTGAACCTGATCACGCTTCTAGATCCAACCATTAATTTATAGAAACATATGGAGGAGAGAGGAGCATTTTAGACAACATCAGGGGATGCAATCAGCGAAATCCAGATTTGGGAAATTCTACAGGACAAACATCTCCATTTCTCCAACAAATAAATTTCAAGAGAAAAATAAAGATAAAAGGAGGCACAGAGAGATTAAAAAAGACAAACATATCAACCAACTGCAATGTATAGGCCTATTTTAATATGTTCATTGACAAAGGATGTGAAAAAAATTATGACATTTATAAGACAACTGAAAATTTGAATACTCATTGGGTGTTTGATGATGTTAAAGAAATACTGCTAAATTTTTCAGGTGTGATAGTACTGGGTGACTGGGTGCCATGGCTCATGCCTGTAGTCCCAGCTACTCAGGAGGCTGAGGCAGGAAGATCACTTGAACCTGTGAGTCGGAGGTTGCAGTGAGCTATGATCACACCATTGCACTCTAGCCTGGCTGACAGAGTGAGACGCTAACATAAAAATATAGCACTATGGTTGTATTTTTTAAGGTTCTTATCTTTTAGAGGTAGTACTTTTTATTTATAGGTAAACTTATTAAAATTCTCAGATTTACTTCAAAATAATATTAACATGTGAGAAGAAGAAATGGATGTTATGAAGATGGGGCGGGATTGGAGGGCAATGGGGAACAGGGGGCTTTGTCACACTATTTCACTGTTGAGTCTGTTTGAAACCCTTCAGAATAAAAAATTACACATGCAGGCACACAAAGTGAGATACCATTATGCTCTCACCAAGATGGCTAACACAGATAAATAACTAAAAAAAAATTACATCAAGTGTTGATAGACTGTGGAATAACTAGAACTCGTGCTGCTGGCAGAAGTGGCAAAATGTACAAACACTTTGGAAAACTGTTTGGTAGTCTATAATAAAGTTAAATACACACTTATCCTATGATCCAGCAATTTCGCTCTTAGGTATAGATCCAACAAAAATGAAATGTGCATAAAAGACATACACAGGATGTTCATAATAGCCACAAATGGGAAACAATCCAAATACCAAGGAAAACAGAACAGATAAATAAATTGTGGTATATTCACATGTTGGAATACTACACGATGAAAAAAGAATATACTACTACATGCCATAACATGGATGAATTTCATAGACACAATGTTGAGCAAAAAGCCAGACACAAAAGGGATATAATGTATGCTTCTATTTATAAAAAGTTCCCAAACTTCACCGAGATAGAAAAAAGTTGGAACAGAGGTTTGCTTTTGAGGATGTGGCAGGGTATTCCCGTGGAAATGATAATGGCCTGATAATGGCTGATAATGGCCTGTACCTTGATCTGAATGGTGGTTACACAGGTGTATTTATTTGTAAAAATTCATTGGCTGTCCACTTAAGATTTGTGTGCTTTACTATAGGTATATTATTATTTTCACCAAAAAAATTAAGGGGAAAAAGGGTATCTTGGAAAGGAGCCGGGACTGGAATTTGGGTAGTAATACCAAGAGTTTCCACACCCACCTAACCATTTAACGGTAAGGTCCTACAGCTAGCCCCTCATGTCCCCCATCAGGTAGTTGAGCCAGTGAAAAGAGACTTTCCCAAAACCCCTGGGAAGCAGAACTGGACCCATGACTCCCAGTCCAGGACCCTTTCCACTCTCCACGCACCTTATTTGTCTCGGACAGATGAAATGTCAACCTATTTTAAAGATCTCTGAACAGGAAGTCCCACAGTTAAAGTTCTAACTCTCAGGGGCAGAAATGTATGTATTTTTGCCTTGTCTAATCTAAGTCCTTCATCCTGTGTGTTGTTTGTTCTTTCTCAGTCCTTTCTGAACACTGGAAAGAGCTAATTACTTGGAGACATTCCTTTTCAATAGTTTCTCAAATAGCCTCTATTTTGCAAGCCAAATTTTATATATATTTTATATATCCTTTAGACTTTTCCCATAGACTCTCTCTTGATTTTTAGTGATCTCGGAGATTTTCACATGAGCCTACATTTTTAGAGCTGGCAGGGCCACAGAGATCAGTGAGTCCAACCATCTCAGGATCAAACTGAGAGGAAAGGAGTGATGCCACTGGTAGAGAAGAGACAGTAACGAAGGGATCACGAATAGTGGGCAGGGCTCCTTCCCTCTCTATTTCACCCCCGTCCACATTCTCTCTGGCCCCTTCCATGTGGAGTCCACAACAGTGCACCACTCGCTGGGAAGGTTACTACTGCCAAATATAAGGGGATGACCCAAGCATGACTGCTGGATGCTATCTCCTCTTATCTGTGCACCCCATCACTAATTTGCTTGTAACACAGCAGACTCTAATTACAGAATTGCCAACAGTTTGCTAGCTGCTAGGCACATGGCCACACGCCACATGCACAGGAGTGGTATTGCGTACGTTTCTGTTTGTGTACTGTGCCCTCCCACCCTTTGAAAGATTTCTCGGGGGCAGGTACCGGAAGAACTTTCTGGGATTTAAATTTAACTAAGTTATTCTTTTATAAAATAGCATTTCTGCAGTCACTTCCGTTACATCAAAAAGAGGATAGATGCTGCACTGGTCTTTTCCAGACTCCTGGCCAAGTCAGCTTGTGGCTCCTGCAGAGAGGCAGACTGTGGGGCGGCTGGCAGCAACTCAGAGCTCTACAGTTCTCATGAAGGAAGCGAGCTGCCTTGCAGAGCCTTTAGCCAATCCTTTAGGTGCCCTGGGAGCCTCACCTTTACTGTGCGGTACCAGGAAATGGTTGGCCAATGGTTTCAGTGATCTGGAATAGCCCTAACTAGGAAGGGTTTGGAGCCTGGTTGCTCAGAGAATAAAAAAGGAATCGGCAAGCCTGCTCTGCATGGTTCCCATGAATCAGCAATACCTGTGGGCCCAGTGGGAACTCCTCCAGGCCCCGTTTTGAGAAAACTCAGAAAGATAAAAATCAGGGGTACAAAAAAAAAAAGAGACATTCCTAAGAAGCATTTGGCACAATTACAAACAGTATATTAAACTGACAAAATGCTTCACAATTATTTTCCAGACAAGTCCACACACATCTCAGCAGGAGAAGTTCAGCACAGACAAGTATGAGTTCTTATGCACTGGACAAAATTAGTTCAATTACTCATGCACACTCAAAGGTGCTTAATTAATTATAACAGCAAGAGAACAAAGGACCAGGAGAGGTCTGCACTCTTGTTAATAACTAATTCACCAACTGGAACTGGACAGACAGACACAGAAAAGCCAAACCAAACAAAGGAAGAGCATATTAAATATAAGAATCCTCTAAAATAAGAAATATCATCCTTTATATAACAAAGACAACACTAAGCATACTTATGTGTATGAATAAGGATGACACTAAATCCTTCGTGTCATGCAAACTTGTATAGTATGCTAAATTTAAGCTCACAATACTCATGTGAGCTGAAGTGGGGGTGCTCTCCTCATTTCAGGGATCTCAGGGAACTAAGACTGTGAGATGCTAAGTGATTTGCCTAATGGGACATGATCAGCGTCAGAGCAAGGTCTAGACTCCAGGTCAGCTGCTTCCTGGGTCACCCCATAGTAAGTGAGGCCTGTGCTCTGCTGACAAAATCTGCCCACTTGCTGGGACTAAGCCCTGCACACATTTGTAAGATACCCAGCTGGGTCTGAAACAAGGCAGTTAGGGGACCCTTAGAGGAACAAATTGATTTCCTTTACTGGGTATTAAGAGTTCAGCAAAATCTTTGATTTATACCAGGAGCTCGATGAGTAATAATTTTTAGCCCTATTCTCAAGCCTGAAAAAAAAAATCAGAGTCAGATTTGATCAGTGGTTTAAAAATCTATTTTTGACAGCAGAAATTTTTATTTCTGTATCAATGCAGCTATGTCAGCAACTTAAGGGCTTTCTGGAGGACACTGGTAATTAGTGGCAACCTAAGGGGAGTTTCATGTGAACCGAACAGAACTACAAATGGTAAGGAAAGATGATAATTCAGCCCATAAATGTAGATTTTCCAAATGAAAGAACTGCCTGACTTGCTGCATGTCCTCAGATGAGGGACACCCTCTTGTTGGTGAAGTCGAACTGGGAGACAGTGGACGTGCAGATGGGAGCACGGGCATGAGGCGTGACCCAGGGCTCTTGCTCCTGAGGACCATGCAGCCCACTGTGCTGGTCAGGCAGCAACAGTCCACCAGGTCCAGATCTTACCCCCCATCCCCAGGTCCCCAATTCTTGATTTGAAATAAGGACTTTCCATTTGTGAATTCATGCTAGAATGAGTTTCTTTTAGAGGCAAGGGCTGTTTTTCTATTTCTCTGTACTTCTTTTCCTTCTCCTTGCCATACTCTATCTCAGCAACCCTCAGGAGTGTGTTTGATGGGGTAGTAAACGCTGGCCAAACACTGACTTTCAGAGGCAAGTGATAAAAAAGAAGTTATCATCCACAACAGGTAAAGCAGGTAGGAGGGTCTGGTCTCAATTCTACCAAGGACTTTGGATAAACAGTTAATTTTTTTCTAAGCTTCAGCTTTATAATGAATGTGAAAGTACTCCAGCCCCTGTAGAGTAGCATACAAATGTTCACTGCCATTATCATCAACCTTGAAAAATAAGCAAGCCTCTTCCATTTTGAAAATTGCTATGAAGCTTTAGCCAGCACCAGCTTCTCCCATCCAAGTACTAACCAGGCCCAACTCTGCTTAGCTTCCGAGATCAGATGAGAGAGACCATTTTCTACTCATCATTTACTGAGGCCCTACTATATAAAATTACCAGCTGATGGTAACAAAAACATGGGAGAAAAGCTGTTAATTTTCCCTCAAAGAGGTTCCCCTCAGGTATCAGCTTAGCTGATGGTGTCGGTAACAAGTGATCTTAGCCTAAGACGCAGTTTCCCTGTCCTACACCCCAGGGCTTTCATACAGCCTACCTACGAGCCCAGTGGGACCCTCTGCAGCCTGGTCTTTAGGCAGGGACCCACTTGGTGCTCAAACATACCTGGCCAACCACTTCGTATAAATGTCACTGCTGCCATTTAACACACTCCTGCCATGCTCAGAGGATGCCCAGAGGGAAGCAGTGTACTCCTAGTCTCTGTCCCCAGATGCTCCTAGGCCAGACCTGCAAAGCATCTTGGTAGCAGATGCTGCACTCTATTTCGGTGGTGGCAATAGGGCTGTTGTGATTATCTTTTTGTTTTGGGAGTTGTTTCTTGTCAAGTGTGAGCTTGGGGATTCAGCTGGGGCCTGGAGGCAGTTCCCAAATAAAATAAAAATACGGCCATGAAGCAATTTCCTTCAGGAAGAAAATAAAAAAAGACTAATGAGGCTCACAAAGGGGTCAACCTGTGCCTTTTCTGGCAACTGGCAGAAGCAGGATTTAAGTCTTGCTGTGTTCAATGGGCAGCTTCTCGGTTTCTGCTTTGTGTCAGCCAACTAAATCCGTTGGTCCAGGAAAGCAGCAGCAGAGAGCACTGAGAGCCAGGTACAGAGTTACAGGTTCTCTCTGAAATCTTCTAGCAGATTTCACAAATGCTAGGAGGCCAGAATGCCAATCCCAGTGTTCCAGCCATGTTAATAGCCCAGAAAGAACTCTGTGAAATTGCTCCAAGGGCCAGTGGCTCAGAACACACTGAAAGAATGACCTGTGGGTAGCAATGCATTTCCTCTAGGCAGACCCAGAAGGGCCAAGTGAGTGACTGCCCAAAGGAATTACAACAGGGCCCACATGAGACCTCAGTGTCACCCACTCCCCACAGACCACAGCGGGGATGCCGGCCTCCTAGCCCTTTCTTTCTGGCTAAGTAGCTAAGTTGCTCCTTTTGTCTGGCCTGGTCCTGCACGACAGCTTCTCTGGCCCAGTACCTGTAGGTCTTTGTCATGGCCCTGCCTCTCCAGGATCAGCACCCGGTCCTGCAGCTCCTCCACGGTCCCTTGGAGCAGGTCATTTTCCTCTAAGGTGGCACTGAGACGATGCTCCAGCTCCCGTTTCCGATCTGACAGCATCTTGATCTGAAAGGGTGGAGAGCCACAGGGGTGGTGTGGAGTTACACCCAGGCTGACAAGTGGGAAGGAGGGACTAGCCCCAAAACACGAAGGCACGTGTCTCTCAGTGCTCTGCCCAGGGACTTGGCCCCCTCCCCCCCCAATCTCTATGAGAGAACAGCTGTGAAATCCTAAGCTGAAGAGAAAACCCCTCCCTTCTAGAAACCTGTCTGGGAAGGGGTGGGAGTTGAGCTTTGAGGCGGCTGGAATGTGGGATGCCAGGCAGAGGAAGGGAAGGCTAGGGCCTGGAAATTCCAGAGATAAGACAGAGAAGAGCCCCACCTTGCCTGCCCTCAGTTTTACCTCAACCCTACAATTTGCGGGGGAAATGGAATCTAACCTGCCGTACTACTCTTCCTTCTCCAGTCGTGATGGGAGAAAACGCCCAAGAAATCCTTTGGAGCCGCAGTGTTTCCAGAGTCTGGGGCTCCCCTCTGCCCTTCCCCCACTGCCAGCCCCTCTGGTACTAGAAGTTACAGCTCAGAGCCGGTGCCCTGAGTTAATGGAAGGGCTAGCAGGGCACAGAATGCAAAGCAGTGCCTGCATTAGCCCGTGTCCCTGGAAAGAGCAGGACAAGGACACAAGTGAACACTGACTTGACTCAAGCTTTTACCCAAGCAAGCAATTCGAGAATAGAGGCAAATCCTCTCCTTTTATCAAACAGGCTGACATATTTGTACACTGAGTACCTAGTCAGTCTCATGATACATGAATCTTCTTTTAGGAAGGTCTAATTGCTTCAGTGTCAGTGAGAAAACGAGGAAAAGAGGAAAGAGATGCCAAGTCTTCTCTGGCCGCAAGGTTTGCAGGGTGAGGAGCTGAGCTAGTCTTCCCAAGGCCAGGGATCCTTTGCCCAGGGAATACCGCCCAGCTCAGGGGCTCCAGAGAGCCTTCCCAAGTCTTCCCAATTGGCACTGGCTTTGGGGGGAACTTCTGGAGCCTTGCAAGTCCTCCTATTCATCAGTTCCCTGCTGGAGTGATTTCTCAACCAGCTTCTTGTTTGTGAATATTTTCTTGACATGGTTAAGATGTTCTCCAGGCTCTCTATTCTACCTTGGATACAATTCCTTTAGGCTCTTGCTTGGGTAAGTTTTGGGGATCGACCTCAGAACTTTTCCAGGGGAGATTTTGAAATGAATGCCTAACTTGCTTCAGGTCTTCTGAGAGCCGTCTCTCCCTTTGCTTTCTGGCCGTTCTTCCTCTGCACACTAGAATTCTGCCCACAGGGCACAGATCTTCTTTGGCCACCAATCAATCAGATAGGGTGCCGTCCTGGGAAAATGAAGTGCGTGGCCTTTGTCCAGACAGATCAGGTATCTGGCCAAAGAAATACTGTCTCTCAGGTGTGCCCCTGGGTAAGGGACCAATAGAAGCAAGCCCATTTTGTGAATGAGCCTACTATTTCCTACACTGAAGCAAAGTTACCCAAGTGAAGGGAATTCTTACTCCAGTTGATTTTCATTTAATTACCCTCTGACCTGTAAATTTTCCTTCCCATGAATCATCTTTGTTTCCCAAGTTTCAGTCAGTGAAGTAATGAGGTAATATGATTCTGATATACAACTGATCCTTAAAAAAACTTAAAGGGGTCAGTCAGAGCTGTAAGAAGTAACTTATCTGAAATGATTAATTTCACACCTTGGCTTTTAAAAGTGGCAGTGTTTACAGATGAAGCAAGGAGTCCAGCATGAGGCCACCCTGCCCCACCCTACACACCCTGAAACTTGTGACCAAACCAGGCAGTAAACATCCCTGGAAATGACCCTGTCCCTGAGGGTCTAGAAAAAGTGAATAGGTCAGGGAAAGAGGAAGACAGGCACCTCAGTGGAGTCGGAGCCTGGGAGAGGTAGTTGAACGGCAAGTCATGCACACAAAAGGTCACAGACAGGCATGCCAAACCCCACCGGAACAAACTCTACTTACTTCAAGAACCTGCTGCTCAATACCAGTAGGAATTCCAGGGGAAAGAAGGAAGGAAGGGAATGGGAGGCAGGAGAAAAAGAGAAGATATTGACAGACTTTAGGAAAAATATCCTCAGGTCATTTACGAAGCAGGGGAGCAGCCTGCCTGGGTTTCTCTGGCCTGCCCATGATGGCTCATTCCTTAACCACAGTGGAAGGGGCACATTCAGTCTGGCCTTAGACTGTCCCTCAAACTTTGACTTAGCCGAAGGGCTGCTGTTCATATACTTGGCTAAGGGGTCCTCAAGAGCAAATCAGGTGGAAGCCTCCCAAGGGGGAGGCCCTGTGACCTGGTGATAAGAACCTTCTCCTCTCTGTACCTCTTGCAACTAGATTCTCACAGGATTGTTCCACAAGTGCTACTTTGTTTTTCCCCCTGGCCCACTCAGGGCCATAGACCCTGGCTGCCATGTTCTGGCCTCTCCTATGCTTTCAATAACATTATGTTCCAGGTACCACACAAGGTGTTTTTCGTGTATTTACCCATCCAGTCCTTACGAAAATCTATGAAGCAGAAACTTCCATTTCTCCCATTTTACAGATGAGAATAATAGCAGACCCTATTAAGATGGACTGAACTGGTCCAAATGGAATGGAGAAAGAGAAGATGGTCTTCTCCACCTTCTATTTGGGATTGGGGAGGATTTTTGGGGAGAGATTAACATATTCAGGATAATGTAGGCCATTCATGATTTCAACACACTCAGCAGTAACTCTGAGCAACTTTTATTTTTTCAGACAACAGAGGAACATGGATCAAGTGTTCCCCATTTAGTTTCCCACAGAAATGTCTTTCTTTAGAGATTTTAGTCCTTTTTATACAGAGCAGGTGTCTGTTTCTTGTTCAGAGGGCTCCTTATCCAAAGACCCAGTGCAGCGCCCCCAATGAGAAAAGCACTCCTCCGCCTTCCCGCACTGCGGCATGGGGAGGCTCACCTCAGCCTGAAGGCTCTCCAGCCTGATGATGTGCTGGTTGGTTGACGAATTTTTCTCACGAAAGTCTTCTCTGAGGGCGTGGACCTGCATGGAGAGCTGTCTCTCAACTTCTGATGCCTGAAACAGAGGATACCCTCAGAGCCGATTCAGAGATTGTACAAAGGCAGGGAGTTAAGAGTTTGCCTTTCACTTATGCATCTCTTTTTGCACTTTCCTGTAAGGAGCAGTAGAGGAGATGCTGCCTTCTCATCCATGATCCATTCGTTCTCTAGCACCAAAAGAAGACAAACACCCATCCCCACCTCCACTATTAATGATGCTGTCTAGGTCCAAGATCACATTACTGACCAGAGGAAACAGGCCCAGCAAATAGTAAGCTCTCATATGTGACTTACCATCATTATCATCTGGCTATAGCAGAAGTTCAGCAAATTTTTACGAGAAAGAATAAAACTGATATACCTACTGCCTTAGAAATGCCTTTATTTCTCCCATCAGTTTCCTCATCTGGGCTCAGGCAAATCATCTGTCTGCACTTCTCACTTCCACTCAACATGGGTGCTACATGAAATTCCCTGTCATGTCTGTTAAGATTTTTGCCATTATTCCTCAAGGACATTTTCACAACTTTTAATTCTTTAGAGAGTGCTGGCTGAGGTGCTTGTTTTCAACCCCGATTCACTGACTCTCTAATGCTAAAACACAGCAAACATCAAAATACCATTTGGTGTTGCAAGAGAGTCATGGGAAAGCCAGCTCACTTGGTAACACATGAACTCTAGCCCTCCTCCTGTGGGCCCACCCAGACCCCACTGAGGAGAGCCCTGGCTACCGCCCTGCAGAGCGAGCTGCCACAGGACAAATTCAGCAATTGCTTCAATGCTTTTTTGAGGCCAAATGGGGTCGGTAAGCTTTACGGGTTCTAGAGAGAGAGCACTGTGTGCTGGACTGGTTAGGAAAGGCTTTCAGAGGAGGGGGGATGGTGATAATGTTGAAATGGTAGGCTAGCTGTTCAATGAGGCTCTCACAGTAATGGTTACATGTTCAATAGTTCTTTTTGTCTTCTAGTACTTTATAATCAATTGTCCATCTTTCTGTTGTTTCCACAGATTCAACAAATGTTGCCTCACTGGACTACAGAGCCACTTAAGATTCTTAACCTATAGTTGTGTTTTTTAAACAATTACAAAACACAAATCAAGCCACAATCTAGTTGATTTTCATTTAAATACCCTCTGACCTTTACATTTTCCTTCCCACGAATCACCTTTGTTTCCCAAGTTTCAGTCACGAGGCAATGCGATTCTGATACACAACTGAACCTTTTAAAAAAAACTGAGAAGTTCAGAACTACAAGAAGTGACTTATTTGAAATGCACAATTTCCCAGCTTGGCTTTTAAAAGTAGCAGGGTTAATGGCTGAAGCAAGGAGTCAGCATGAGGCTACCCTACCCTAGCCCACACACCCTGAAACTTGTGACCAAACTAGGCAGTAAATATTCCTGAGAATGTTTCCGCCATATTCTTTTTCCTCTATATTCTAGATTTAATTTCAGACACCAGTAGCTTTAGACTTCTCCATTACTTAGAAACCTGTTTGTCACTCGCTCTTGCCTAAAAATCACATCAGTAATATTTACTGAGTGCTTACAATGTGCCAAGAACTGTGCTAAATGCTTCTAATACATTATCTCAATTGTTATCCCCAATTTACTAATGAAGGAATAGGCTGAGGAAAGTGAAGGAACTTGCTCAAGAGCTCAGTAAATGACAGCATCAGGATGGTAAACTCTGGGCTACTTTATCCTCAAATTAGGACTATAATACTGCCTTCTTGTGTTTTGAAATAGTTTTTCACATTCCTGTTGCTTACTACTGAAACCAAACCGTACATGTGTCCAATTTAGCAAGGCTTTTTTTCCCCTTTCCTTCTTTTTTAATACTAAGCAATTTCATTTGAGACTTTTGAAATTTCTTCTAATGGAATATAGGGCCCATTTGAAAATCAACTCCTGTGGTTTCACTGCCTATACTGTATTCAGTTGACTATTGGGGTTTTGAACATATTTAGATTTGCAAAGCACTGGGTAATTCAGGTAGCTGATCTTATTCCTAGCATCACCTCTTTGACATGAATCACAAGACAACAAAGCCACAGAAATGCACTGAGGACTACGAATCTAGCTCAGCTGGTATTAGAAATGCTCCTGTAGACTACCTCCCCTCAAAGCCATCTTCTTAGAAATAGAAATTTGTCTCTTCCTACCAGGAAGGTTGACTCCAGAGCCTCAGCTCTTAACCACTAACCTATAGTTTCCTTCAAATATTTGACTTCTCAGATATGCCGAGGGATGTACTTTTTTCAAAGGCTTTTAACCTGCATTTCTCATTTGAATTTCCAACAGCCCTAAGAAGCAGGAATCACTGGCCTCTTCTTGCAGACAAGGAGATAGAGGCTGAGAGGGTGTGGCACCCCACTGATCTTTGGCCACCACACCACCTTCCAGTCAGGGGGCCAATCATTTGCCTGTGATGGTGATGGAGGGGATGATCAGAGTTATAAACCTAACATTTGCAAGGAGCTAATGTACCTGTCAAAGTAAATTATTTTCTTCTTTTTCAGAGATGGAATCTGGCTCAGATCTTTAGATTTGATTAACGGAATAAATATTAGCTAATTCTGCACGTAAATTAAATAATAACCTTTTAAGTTTATATACAGCTCTAATGTTCTAAATGCTTTCTGGAAGCTAAATTCTAAATCAGGAAACAAAAAGCCAACCTCAGTTCCATAATAAATTTCAGAGGTTCTCTGAAGCTCCCCAAGTAGGAGAGTTAGCCAGGGTAGCAGCAATCTCTCTGAAGGGACCCACATTCTGCTCCTGAGAAGAAGGATGGTATTGTGGGAAGAAAAAAGCTTAAGGGTTACAGGGTTACAGTTCCTGTCCTGCCATATGTGTATATGTATACAAGTTACATGAGTCTTTTAACCTAGTCTTGCATTCCCAAATGATAAATATATTCCTCTACAAAATTATCAACACAAAAAGGAATACTCCATTTCCCTCTTTCTAATTGCAGGATTGAGTTGAACCACTGAAGTTTAGGGAAGTGAGAAAGGAAAGAAATATTATACTGTCAAAATTTAGGGCAACTGTGGGAAGTAGTAAAAATCCAAGGATCAGTTGTTGCTCCAAGGATTAGCTGTTTGACACCGTGTATATGTTACAGCAGGGGTCCCCAACCTATGGTGAGTTGTATAATTATTTCATTATATATTACAATGTAATAATAATAAAGTACACAATAAATGTAATGTGCTTGTATCAATCCAAAACATCCTCCCTGTTCCTGGTTCATGGAAAAATTGTCTTCCATGAAAATGGTCCCTGGTGCCAAAAAGGTTGGGGACCGCTGGTGCTACAGGGCACTGTCAAACACATGGTCCACTTTGGGCTCTGCCCTGAAAATAGCCTGTTAAAGTGGCCTGGTCAGGATCATTAAGGTAGTGGGTCAAGCTAAAAAATATGGAGAAATACAGAAATATTTGGCAGCCAACTCTTTTCGTTCAGGTGGCTCTTCACAACTATTCAACAGATACACAGGAGCTATTCCTTTCTTGGAGAAACAAAGTTTCCTGCTTCTAGGTTTGGGGCAGAGTCATGGCCCTGTGACCTTTTCTGGTAGTGGTGGTTGGGTATGAAATTAGGACAATTCATCCTTATAGTAGAAAATGACAGGCATGGGTCTCATAATTTACTTCTCAATAGTATTGGCTATTGTGCCTGACTAAGCAGCTAACAACAGCTGTGGCAACGAACAACACCTGCAGTCACAGGTGAATTTAAAACAAATGGAAAGATTTTCAGGTATTTGTTGTTTTCTTTTTAAACTCATTTTTCTCTATAATAAAAGAAATTTTAAAAATTAAAGAGAAATGAAGAATTAAAATGAAAGTTAAAATCTCCATTTACCCCAAATCATTAGTGCCAGTCTCCAGAAGTAATCATTATTAGACATCTTTCTTGTTAGCCCTTCTAGAAATTTTTTATTCATACCTATGTATCTAAAACATTATCCAAAAACTCACCTTTTTCTAGTGTGGCAGTCAATGTGTTAAAGCTGAGAATACTGAGGGTAAGTCATGTTCCTAAAGTCAGACTGGTGTTGGTGAGTGCTGGACTTGGATTCCCACCCAGATCTGCTACCTCTGCAGTCTACTCTTAGTCTCAACACCACAGTGCCTCCTCTCCCTTTTCTCTGTCTCAAAATGCTTATAAAATGAAAGTGACATTAGGGCAACAACCTTGAGTTTATTCTAATTTAGGACAGAGGGTGATTATAAAACATTGGTACTTTACTGTGATTGAAAAATGTGCTTTAAGGACAATACTTTAAAAAGAATTAAAATTATTTTAAAATTTAAATGTAACAAAACCTCATCACAGAATATACTAGCATTTAAGTTTTCCCCCAATCTTTCTATGTATGTGTGTTTCTACACAATTAGTTATGCTCACACTGTTCGTATAGACTTTCTTTTTTCACTTAGCAATATATCAAAAGTATTTCCGTATTATTACTCTTCTTAGTCATCACTTTATATGACTGTGTAATATTCCACCAGGTATTTCCTTTACCACTCCCTTACTGTTAGGCATCTGGGATTTCCCCATATTTTGCAATTATAATGCACTGATGAAAACATGTCACTGGGGTGGTGGTGGCAGAACTAACCTGAGTAGAAGTGCACTGGACAACTCTGCTGTGTCAGAAAGGTAGATAAATACACTTTAGAAAAGAAAACCCACATCAATTTGAACCTCAAATGGGTTTTTGATTAGTCTTTGCTTAACTTGAAAATCCCATTAACCAATGTGTGTATTTCCCTATTCTCAAGGTTTTACTGTTTAAAAACTTTCACATTTGATAATGGGTGCCATGAGCCTACTAGTAGCATATTACAGGATAAGGCTCCTTTTTACTCTCTTATTTATAGTAATAAAAATGATAGACATCAAATTGGTTTCACTGATCAACACCTAAGTGCACATATAAGAATAACATTTATTGGGCGTCGGGCAGGTGGGAGGGGGGAGGAGGGGATGGGTATATAC